ACTGATAAATTAGCACCAGATTAGGATGGAAAAAAAAAAAAACTGTTACGGTTCTGGAATAAATTTTGTTCTACTAAATTAAGGCACTAATCTCTAACGAAAGGCTTAATAAGAGATGTTTTTCTTTTCTGCCAGGGTTGCAAGCCAGTGCTTTGTTGAATCTCATCTTCTGATATGAAGGTAAAGTGATCTTACTTTTTAGTTTTAGAGAAGGCTTTAAGCTACACCCTGCAGTGCTTACGGGTGAAAGTCCCATCAAGCAAATGCCTTAACTCCCGTTACTATCTCTCCAGCCCATGGGAGGTCAAGTTAAGAGCTTTTCAATGTGTGGGGATGTTGGGGAGGTGTTAAGATGAGGTGACGGCAATAGCTTCACATGCTATTGGAGGATGTTTTCAGTTTCTTGGTTTTGGAGGGGGGTCTCAGTGGGGATTTGGGTCACACCCAGGAGTCCTCAGGAGCTGCTCCTTGTTCTACACTCAGAACTGAGCCCTGGTTGTGCTTGAAGAACCAACCATAGGAGGTCATGAGGATTAATTAGGGGTCAACTGCGAGCAAAGCAAGTGCCTTAAGACCTATACCATCTCTCTAACCCCAGTGTGTTGGCTTAAAGAAGGTAAAAAATTTTTTCGCTTTTTGGGTCACACCTGGCAATGCACAGGGGTTACTCCTGGCTCTGGACTCAGGAGTTACTCCTGGCAGAGCTCAGGGGACCACATCGGATGCTGGGAATCGAACCCGGGTGGGCCACATGCAAGGTAAATGCCCTCCCCACTGTGCTATCTCTCCAGCCCCCTAAAGAAGGTAAATTTTTCAGGGGGCTGCTGAGTGATTTTTTTTTCTGAAAAGGGCAGAGTAGGCCAAGTAAGCTTGGGAAACGCCACATTAAAATAAGATCGGAGACAGAGAGATAGTCCATCAGGGAGGACACTTGCCTTGCATGCGGCCAACCCAGGTTTGAGCCCTGGCATCCCATAACAGTCCCCCAAGTACCATTAGGAGAAAGTTCTGAGTGCAAAGCCAGGAATCACTCCTGAGTATTGCTAGGTGTGGCCCCAAAACAAAATAAAATAAGGTCATTAAGAAAGGGTCTAATAGAGGGCCAGAGAGTACAGTTGCTAGGGAAAAACAAAAAACAAAACAAAACAAAAAGAACCTAACATAAAATGTCCAGTCTCCTAATAAGAGAATGAGACACTAGGGGGTTGTGAGCACAGAGTAGTTAGTTCCTTTGTAAGAGGCAGACCCCATAAGAAGGCACTATCTCTAAGCCAAGGAGAAAGCACATCTTGATTTTGGACTTTCAGCTTCCAGGACTGTGAAAGAAATCATCTCAATCTTAAACCACCTCTATAGCTTTTGTTTTCGTTTTTCTTTTTGTTTCAGAGCAGTAGCAAACTAATGCTTCAGGAAAATATTATCCCTAAGGAGAAAAAAACTCAGAACACAATTAGAGAAGAACAGACAGAATTAGACATTTTTTAAGATAAAAGAGTATGGTAGGAGCCTGAGAGTAGAGCAGGGAGAGCATCTGCCTTGCACACAGCCAACCAGGCTCCGATCGTTGGCACTCTACATGGTTCCCCGAGCCTGCCAGGAGTGATCCCTTAACAAAGCCAGGAATAAGCCTTGAGCACTGTCGGGTGCCGCCCAAATATCAAAAAAAAAAAAAAAAAGATACAGCAAGAAAAGCAGCTCCCATTAATGTTTTTTACTTCCTCTGTGAAGTATAAAGGAACATTATCCAACAAAAGTAAAAAGGGAAGTTAGTCTATTACCATAATAACTATCATGGGAAACAGGACTTGTGGTACTACAAACACATGGGATTATTAGGCTGCCTGTCCATTATTCAATAAATGTTTGTCGCAGAATTAATATCAAGTTTGTCATTCATGTATCAATTAGTTCAGTTTTGATATGGTGAACTGCAACAGCAACCAGCAAAAGTGCTGGATAAGTGTAAGAACCTGAGATGAAAAGAGAGGTGGTTTTTTCATGATTTTTGTGTTGTTCTGTGGCCACATCCAGTAGAGCTCAGGAGCTATTCCTGTCTCCGTGTTCAGCGACCTGGTCTTGGGGTGCTAGGGGAACATAAGCAGTGCTGGGCATGGGGTAGACTGGATGCCAAGGCAGAGCTCTGCCTAAGAACCCCTTATACTATCTCTCAAGTCCTAGCGGTATGAAAGCCACTTACCACTAGTTTCTTCAATCAACTAAAAGAGATTCAATAATTAGCATAAAATCACTCTGGATAAAATAAATGAGACTATAATTTTCTTTCTAACCTCAGTCTTGAACTTGAACTAACCAAAGTACTGTAGCTCAAGCTTCAATTTATCTTAACTAAAGAACTTGGTTCAGCCCATTTAAGATTAAAGCTGAGACTACATTTCTAATCAAGTTAAGTGATTCTGTTGCCGCAGTTGGAATAGCAAGGGTATAAAATACTGCACTGCACTGTCCTCTCATTGTTCATTGATTTGCTCGCGCAGGCCCAGTAACATCACCATCGTGAGACTTGTTGTTACTGTGTTTGGCATATCGAATACGTCACGGGGAGCTTGCCAGGCTTTGCCGTGAGGACGAGATACTCTTGGTAGCTTGCTGGGCTCTCCGAGAGGGGCGGAGGATTCGAACCTGGCTCGGCCGGGATGGCGGCTTACAAGGCAAATGCCCTACCGCTGTACTATGGCTCCAGCCCATAAAATATTAAAGTGCAACAGCATTGTAGATCCATCTGTAATCAGCCTGATACTAAGTCAAAAACACTCCAGACTCACCTGAATTACAAATCACTCTGAAATTAGCTGAGAGATCCCAATGGTGCAGAAAGGGGGCAAAAAATAATATTGCCATCAAGAACCTTTACTTAGAAGAAATAAGAATTACAACACACAAAGCTATACATACGCAAAACACGAGGGTTTAGAAAGAAAAAATCCAGGTTTGGAGAAACAGTACAGGAGTAAGGCACTTGCCTTGCTTGTGGCCAACCTTGGTTCAATCCCAAGCACTGCATATGATCCTCCCAAGCACTATCAGAAACAACCCCTACATACAAAGCCAGGAGGAAGCCGTAAGGATGTCATGTGTGACCTTCCCTTGCCAAAATAAAAAGTTAAAATCTATCTAACCAAGGACCAGGATATTACTCAGCAGTAGAATACTTGCCCTGCATGTATAGTGAGGTCTACGGTTCAATTCCTGACACAACACAGTACCTCAGGATACTAAGCCAGGACTATCACCAGGTTATAGTCCAGAAAACAAACTAAGTAAAAAATTCCACTTAGGGGCTGGAGCAATAGTATAATGGGTAAGGCACTTGCCTGGCAGGCAGCCGACCCATGTTCAATCCCCGGCACCACATATGGTCTCTCCAGACTCTCCATGAGGTATCCATGAGCACAGCCAGGTGTAGTTCCACACCTCCCAAAAGAATCCCTCTAATAAAACATACTTTTCCCAAAAGATTGATATTTTTACTTCTGAAAAAAACACATTTACCTCTACAAATATTTTCAACATGTTTTAATAGTCGTATGTCCACAGGGTTGTAATTGTGACTGTATCTGCACACATCTTAAGATCTTGGGGGCGGGAGGGCACATCCAGCAGTGCTCAGGGAATAACTCCCCGCTCTGCACTCAGGAATCACTCCTGGCAGTGTTCAAGGACGAATGGACTGGATCTAGGTCTGACATGTTCAAGGCAAACTCCCTATCCTCTGTACTCTCCCTCCGGTTCCAGAATCTGAAGATTTTTATATTAGCTGTTAATGATCTTTGCATAATCGCTTGCATCTTCAATTACACCACTAAGTTAATTCAGTGGTTAAAATGATCTTTGCTTTAGTGTAAAGACGAAAGAGATAGCTCAGCTGCCCCTGGGCTATGATAAAGGATGTAACAGAGGGTCACAAATCATTGCTAAAATTAAACCGTCTCTCCTATTTCCTCTTCTGGGTTGCAAGGAGGGGGGCAGGGAGATGACACTCCAGCCACCAATAGTGATTCTTCTTGAAATTTCACAGAAATCTTCCTCCTCCGTGATGTAAGAGAGGCGTGACACAATGAATGAAAGAATGACTATCTTCTTTTATATTGCAGTCATCAAGCCAAAGCGTGTCATTGAGAGTTTTTAATAAAATAAAATGTAAATGGAGACATGAACTCCCTAATCAAAAAAAAAAAAAAAGGAGGAAGGGGGATCCTGGCTGTGGGCAGCTCCTCCTCGCTCCCTTCTGAAGAATCATCTTCTAGGCTCCAGGGCACCATCTCGCAGCGAACTGAATCCACTGGCGCAGGGGCGGGAAGGGGTCTGTCCACTGCTGGCTCGGCACCAGTGAGACCCCAGCTCTTTCGTGGGGCGGCCTCAAGATGAGGCCTCAAGATGAGGCCTCCCTCCCCTCGACCACGACCGTTATCAGGAGGGGAAAAAAGAACGGCACCACGGCCTGCGATGCTCTTCCAAACGGTTCTGCTGAATCACAGACGCCCCCCAGGATACGACGGCGGGGCACGCTGGGCCTGGGCGCCTGGGCGCGGGCGGCCACACCGCGTCACACCGCGAGGCCCCTCTCCGGAAACGCAGCAACTCGCTCACTTTCCCCTCAGGGCGAGGCAGGGCCACGTTGTCCAGCGCGGCTCTCGCGGAAGGCGAGCGGGGTGCGCCACACGACGATGCTCTGAGGGTCGCGTCCTCTGCGGACCCGCGCCGGCCCTCCCCCAGGGCAAACGCAACCCCGGCCGCCACGGGCACCCGACGCTCTCCTCATCCGGGCGCCTCTTCTGCGACCCCCGATCCCTGCCGCAACCCCGGCCGGCTCCCGGGGGCTCGGGAGCACTCAGCCCGGAGCAAGATCTCCAGGCCGCCCCCGGCGCCGGCAGCCCCGCGTCCTCCTCACGCCTCCCCGAGCTCCGCTCCCCGGCCCACACCCGGCGTCCTTCCTTCCTGCCCCCCGCGCGCGCCGCGAAGCTCCCGGGCAGGGGCCTCACCGTCGGGTTCGCTCCGGAACGGCCCGGCTCTCCCGCTTCCGCTCCCCAGCACGATGCGGCGTCCGTCGGCCCCGCGCCCCGCGCTCTCCCCGCACGCCGCCCCGCCGCCTGCCGAGGCCGAGGCCGGTCCCTAGGAACGCGCCATGTTCCGCGTCGCTCCCGAATCGACGCGGGCGCGCGAATACTACGTCACGGCAAGCGCGCGTGGACGAGGCCACGGAAGAAGGCGATTGGCGAATGGCAGGACGCGGGGCGGGGCTTCCCCTTCGAAACCCGAGGCGCTAGCTGGCCGACTCGCAGCTCTGCGCCTGCGCCCCAGGAGAAGCCGGGAGCCCGGGCCAAGCGCGCGCGGTCACCATGGGAACCGCTGAACCGCCTCCTTCCACTCGGGAGATTGCCTCCTGGGTCGGTTTCATGCTGAATGTCTTGTTCTAGACACTAGCTGCTGAAGTATGTTGTTTGATTCATCTAATCAGAAAAGTCACTAAACTAAACTACATCGACTTATCGCTCTCCTGCACTTAATTTTTTTTTTAATTTTGCACTGAAGATTTTTTTTTTTAATTTTTATTAGTGAAGCACCATGAGGTACAGTTGTAGACTTATACATTTTTGTGCTTGGGTTTCAGTTATACAATGATTGAGTATCCATCCCTCCACCAGTGCCCATTCTCTACCACCACTGATCCCAGCATCCCTCCCATTGCCCACCCCCCCCCCATCCCACCCTGCCTCGGTGGCAGGGCACTCCCTTTTGTTCTCTCTCTCCTTTTGTGTGCTGTGGTTTGCAAAAGAGGCATTGATCCTACACTTAAATTTTAAGCTCTTAAGACTTGCCGGGAACATTGCTTCACACTCTTAACCATACTGAAAAGATTTAAAAGGTTCCAGAGCCGAAACAGTATACAGCGGGGTAGGGCACCTGTTAATACTGAGCCAAATCGGGCTCGATCCCCCGCATCCCTTAGGGTTCCCTGAACCCCGCCAGGAGTGATCTCCAGAGCCAGGAGTAAGCCCTGAGCACCAGTGAGTGTGATGCCCACCAAATAAATAAATAAATAAATAAACAGCTCATTTTGCCCCCATAATCTTAAATATAACTAAATTCTATGAAATATTCCCACTGTACCGGTTACTGTTCTAAGTGCTACCGTTCATGCTGAACTATAGACGTCTCCTATCATTAGTCACAGGCAGCAGTGCTCAGGGGACCAGGGATTGAATCCAGACTGCAGAGCATACACTCAAGCCCCTGGGGCCATCGCTTAAGGCTATCTTAAATTTACTTTATTACCACAACTCCCGAAGAATTCTGAAGAATTCTCCGGGCCCCACACAGAGCCTATATCAGCAGGAGGTCCCAGATGGGGTACATGCTGTCTCCCCGCCTTCTCCAGATGGAATCCCAGCGACCATGAGCTTCTACAAGCATGGCTCCCATATGTGGGCAACAGGACTATTCTTCCGAACCATGCAGCCTCAGAAGTGGCCATGCGACATTTCCTGATATGCAAAGTGAGCAATGGAAATAGATGATCTAGCGTCTGTCCCTGGAAGGCAGGCTTGAATGGTGTTGGGAAAATTTGAGCAGAATAATGGCCAATCAAAATGCATCTGGCCTGTGCATTTAACTACGTTGCTATCCTGCCCTGGGAGGGGAAGGGTGCTTGTCCCTCCGTCTGTCCCCTCCTTGTGGCAGCGGCATGGTGGCCTCCATCTTTTGGAGCCTAATGGACAGCCAGGTATTGGGCTGCATTGACAAGGCACACAGGGCCTCGTGGGATGGGGGGGGGAGGGAGAATCGGACCTGCTCCCTGCCCTGATAAGGCCCCCGGTTGCCACCCACAGACGCCTTCTCTGGCTCCTGAACAACCATGATCCCAGAGGCACACAAACCAATCTCAGAACCCAGGGGCTTTGGGCAATAATCCCTGTAGGCTTATTCATTCATTCATTCATTCATTCATCATCCTGTTATTTGTCGATTGCCTCGAGCAAGCCCCAGTAACGTCTCCTTCATCCTAGCCCTGAGATTATATTCAAGGCTCTTTAGGAGAATGAGACCCATCATTGTTACTGGTATTTGGCATATTGGGTACGCCACGGGGAGTTTGCCAGACTCTGCCGTGTGGGCAGGCTACATTCGGTAATCTGCCAGTTTGTCCAAAGTAGGAATGAGATAATAAGATGTCATAAAAAGATGTCCTGATAAGATGTCGCTGAGGTTCCACGGTTCCGGGAGCTGTTTTTTATAGTCTCTGAGTCTTGGCCGCTGATGGGATTACACGGCGCCAGGGGGCCAGGTGGTGGGTGTGACCCCCTCCACTGGAATTTGGAGGATCTGGGTGGAGGCTTATTACTAAAATATCAGAAATCCAAACTCGCTTGACCGCTAATGAGGCCACACGATATCATATGCTCTTTATAACCAGCAATAGAAAACATATTATCTAATGATGTCTTTTTGGCAGGTCCGAATGCTGGGGAAAATTCTAAATAATAATGTTGGGTATTTTGTCATAATATTGAATGTGATCTACATAGAGAGAGAGAGAGAGTAAAGTGGAAATTTGCCACGCAGGCGGGGGGTGGGGTGGGAAGAGGGTATACTGGGGTTCCTGGTGGTGGGAAATGTGCACTGGTGAAGGGACGGGTGTTTGGTCATTTTGTGACTGACCAAAACATAAATTCAAAGGCTTTGTGACTGTTCTCACAGTGAATCAATAAATAAAACTTGGGAAATATTACTTTATTGATGCTTCTCATTACTTTGTATGAAAAACATTATTTTCCTTGTTGTACAGATTTGAAAACAATTTTCTTAAGAATTAAGTTGTTGGGCTGGAGGGATAGTACAGTGGGTGGGCATTTGCCTTGAATGCAGACTACCCAGATTAGATCCCCAGAGAACCACCAGGAGTAATTCCTGAATGCAGAATCAGGAGTAATCCCTGAGCATGGCCAGGTGTGGCCCAAAAAGCAAAAATAAGAGAAGAAGAAGGAGGAGGAGGAGGAGGAGGAGGAGAGAAAGGAGAAGGAGAAGAAGGAGTGGGAGGAGAAAGAGGAGGAGGAGGAGGAAGAGGAGGAGGAGAGGAAGAAGAAGAAGATGATGATGAAGAGGAGGAGGAGAAGGAGAAGGAGGAAGAAGAAGAAGAAGAAGAAGAAGAAGAAGAAGAAGAAGAAGAAGAAGAAGAAGAAGGAGGAGGAGGAGGAGGAGGAGGAGGAGGAGGAGGAGGAGGAGGAGGAGGAGGAGGAGGAGGAGGGGAGGAGGAGGGAGGAGGAGGAGAAGGAGAAGAAGGAGAAGGAGAAGAAGAAGAAGGAGGAGGAAGAGGAGGAGGAGAGGAAGAAGAAAGAAGAAGATGAGGAGGAGGAGAAGGAGGAGGAGGAAGAAGAACAAGAACAAAAACAAGAAGAATGAGAAAAGAGCAAGAACAAGAAGAACAAGAACAAGGACAAGAACAAGGACAAGAACAAGAAGAACAAGATGAAAGAAAATAAATTAAGTTGTCCAGGACTAGAGACATAGTACAGTGTGCAAAGTGCTTGCCTTAAGGGACTAGGCCTGAGTTTGATCTCCATGGCACTCCAAGCACTGCCAGGAGCAACACCTTAGTACAGAGCCCGAAGTAACCCCTGAGCATTGCTGGATGTGGCCCAAAAATAATAAACAAACAAAAGTTGTCTAAATTAAAATTATGTTGGGGGAGTGGAAGACACATTCAGCAGTACTCAGCAGTGCTCAGGCTAGGATCACATTGTTTTATCCTTCCTGCATAGCCTCAGGTAGTTTAGGTATATTGGGTTGCTCCCATCACAGTGCTCCCATTCCTCTGTGTTTATTTGTAACTTCTTTCTTTGTGCTCTGTTGACTTGTAAATATTGTTTTTCTCTTCTCCCTAAGTCCTTTGAATAGTTTATTCAGAGCAATGTCTTTTTTGTGTGGACACAAGAAGACAGTATCTGCTATGCTTTTGTAATGTGAGTCTCAGTGATATTTTCCTCCTGGGCATCTGTTCTCTCACCTAAGCCTCAGCTACCCTTACTTCCTAGCGCCCCCAGAAGCAGGGTCCCGATGAGGAACTGGTTGGAACCAGGACAAAGGGTGGTAAGCTATGTGCTACCCTGGCATCAAGATGAACCTGGCCAAAGCGCCATTAACTTTAAGTTAAGTGCTTGGTCATGGACTAATGCTGTCATGAGCCAAAAAGTAATAACTAGATTCGGACCCTGGAGGGTTAGCAATGTTTAATCTGGCCTGAGGGCTGTAGTCTGAGTCTGTGGCAAGATGTTCCCAGGAGAGCTGTCCTACAAGCCTCAATGTTATCTCTTACTGCATCCATACAAAAATAACTAGTATTAAGATGCTGATTGAGTTTTTGAACTGAGGAAAGGAGAAAAACATCTTAGGAGGTATTTTGCCCTTGGGCAGTCAGGAAGGGATTTGGAATACCTCTCAGGTGGTGTTTCCTTTGAACCTTGTGGACCCTCAGGGAGGGCTCTTATGTTGATTTTGCTACCTGACTGGGTGCCATGTCAGCCCAGTGTGCTGGGGAGTTGGAGAGAGATGAGAGTGGGGAGAGAGTGAGAAAAAGCAGGGCTGTGAGATGGACCGTGGAGAGGCTAGCAAGGGGACAGAGGGGAGAAACAGGAAGAGACAGGAATGAGGGGAGTGTGAGACTAGAATGGGGGGCTCAAAGAGACTGGGGCAGGCGTGTGGGGAGAATAGAATAAATGGCAACTGACCAATCAACCGGCTTGGCCCTCGTTTCTTCCACCATCTGCCCCATGGCCCAGGCTGCCCTGGCTGGGGGAGCGGCCCCAGGGCCCCCAAATCCGGCCGGGCGAGGGGGAGCACTGCCAGGGTCTCTCTCTGGCTGCCCCTCGCAGATTTTATACACTCAGGGGACACTCGTGGCAGTGCTCACGGGAACATATGGTGTCAGGGATTTAACCCTGGATTCCAAGATAAAAATTCTAACCCCTTGAACTAGCTAGCCCTCTGGCCCCACATTCAAATTGATAAGCAGACTTTAAAATAGATACAATATTATGTTTTCTAATAGGAAGAATAAAAGGTATCCTTTCGGCCCCTGATGATATCTCTATGGCCCCTGAGATTAGGTGTGCTCCCACCCCAAAGCTATCCAAATACTAATCCAAAAATCTGTAATTGTGTTACATTGGGGGGGGGGGAATGTTCTGTGCTTGGGTTCCTACTGCTGGTGCTCAAGAACTACGCTGAGGATTGAATCTGGGCATCCTTTATGCAAACCATTAAACATAAGGTTCTTCAGAAGAGTGAGGATGAGAGCCAGAGAAATAGCATAGGGGTCAAGGCACTTACCTTGCACTTGGCCAGTCCTAGCTGTATCCCACCCATATACCCCCCCCCCCACACACACACACACATACACTCTCAGGAGTGATTTCTGAGCACGGAGCCAGGAGTATGCTCTAAGTACCACAATGTGTGGGCCCAACACCTCCCTATCCCACAAAGATTGAATGAGTGTCAGAGGGGAGAATAGGTTATCCTGGAAGCAGAGGTCAAGAGCACTTCATACACACATTTCTCTTCTCTTCACATATGCATTTGTCTTACTTTGTGCGGGTAAGGCATCTGCTTTGCAGGCAGCCGACCCGGACCCGGCACCCCTTGAGCCCTTCAGGAGTGAACCCTGAGAGCAGAGTCAGGAGTGAGCCCTGAGCACCAACGGGTATGGCCCCAAAACAGCCCCTTTCAAGAATTTCCTGTCTTTCTCTTAAAAAGAATCTCTATGCAGCAGTTACTCTGACAACGTTTTTGCTATATCCTAAATGGGTGCTTCTCTGTGCCCTCTTCGGACTGTACCTTCCCCCTTTTGATGTCGATGGGCCCCAGGGGTGACTTACGTAAAGCAGGGAGGAGAAAGTCAGTCACTTTCTCCCCATCTACCTCGGCCACCCGGGACCCAGGGTTACTGGGTTCTTGTCTCGCCTCGCATAAAGCAATTTCAGGAGTAAACGAGCAGTTAAATCACAGTTTTTATTTGGAGGTTTTGAAGGGAAGGAGGAAGAGAAAGTGAGAGAGCGTAGAGAGGAACCTACTCAAAAGAGAGCCCAGGCTTCTCCAAGGGCGGAGAGAGCCCCTACACACATTCCAGCATCATACATGAAAACACGAAAGTACACACCTCAAGAGGGGAGATGTGGGCGACACATGTGCTCAGGCAGCATATGCCTGCGCTTCCTTTGCTCAAGGTGGCCTTTATAGGGTTTCTCCATCTGCCCCCATGTGCTGTTGCTAGGGAGGTTACCTAGGGGGTTGGTAGTGGTGATATTCCTCTTTGAAATTCGGTCCCTGATTTTTGTTTCCGCAGGAGCTTCTGTTGGAGGGGGTTGGTCAGGTGTCCAAGGAATAGCTTTGGCATTTCTGGTTAAATCTCTCTCTGGTCCTTAATTGGTCCTATTTCTTCTGCTGTCATCCCTGCAGACGTCCAGCCTCCGCAGGGTCTGCCACAGACTGGTGGATCTAACTGGTGCGGGTCAGATCTCCATAAGGTCAGGGCTATTGCTTCACAGATTCACTGCCATTGCCTTGAGAAGGGGCCTTCCATAGCCTGCCTACATCACTTTTACCTCGCTTCCTTTCTTTGCCACCTCACCCCCGTTTTACCAGGAGGCTCCCAAATTTCCTGCCATAGCACCCCCTGACCCTTCTCTATTTATCGATTTTCTCCTGTGGTCCCTTGTAATATCCTGGAGCCCACATGGGGGCATATGGCCGGTTCGAAAATAGATAGTATCTGTTAAACTACGCCCCTCCCTCGCACCGCTTCCCGGCCAACAAGTAGAATTATTCCTACCCCTGTCGCATTACACGGCAGAGTCTGGCAAACCCCCCGTGGCGTACCCAATATGCCAAACACCAGTAACAAGGATGGGTCTCATTCTCCTAAAGAGCCTTGAATATAATCTCAGCGCTAGGATGAAGGAGACGTTACTGGGGCCTGTTCGAGGCAACCGAAGATTAACAGGATGACTTGTGATTTTGTGATTTGTGTAGCATTACAAGCCTTGAACTCGCTCCCTGGGGTTCCCAGCCAGAATCTGCTAGAAACCAGGAGCGAGCCACGTGACCGCGGCTCTGGACTTGAGAAAGACTACAATCCCCAGAATGCCGCGCGCGCCGGGAGTGCGGAAGTCGGGGCGAGCGGGCTGGGGCTCCGCCCCCTTCCTACGGAGTCCCGGGAGTCCCGGAGCGCCGCGGCGGGGAGGCGCGGGGTGGAGGGCCCGCACGTGGTGCCGCGACTCCCGATTTGGCTTCTCGCGCCCCTGCCGGGTCTGCGGGGCGCCCCGCAGCCCGCGGCGATGCCGAAGGCCAAGTCCGGGGCGAGCGTCCGCCGCCGCGAGCGACAGGAGCAGCGCCGGGAGCTGAGGAGCGCGGGAGGTGCGGGCTGCGGGGGGTTCGGGCGCTGCTGGGGCGCCGGGGCCCGCGTCTGGGCCGCGCTTGCTTTTGTTCGCTGGCGGGATGCTCTTCCCGGATGCGCTCCGCCCAGGCTTCTTCCTGAGTCTGGACTCGGGGTCACCCTGGAGGGCTCGGGGAGCCCGGTGCGGTGCCGCGGGGGCTCGGACCCGGGCGAGCAGCAACCCCGCCGTGCTGCCCCTCCGGCCGCCCCGCAGGTTCCGTTTTGGGACGCCGAGGCCAGTCGGGTGTCACCGTCGGGCTCCCGGGTCGCGGACCCGACCTGGGGTACCCGGGGCCGACCCCGAGCTGCCACCAAGCGCGACGTTCCCTGACTCTGGAGAAATCCCGCCCCGCGGGATGCAGGCCGTTTCTTGCTCTCTTGCAGGGCTTATGTTCAACACCGGGCTTGGGCAGCACATCTTGAAGAACCCCCTCATCGTTAACAGCATCATCGATAAGGTGGGTGTGGAAGAGGAGAGGGGCGCTGTCGATTTGGTTTTTGGTTCTGTTGTTTTGTTTCGTTCGGGGGCGACGCCCGGTGGTGTTCAGGGGTTGCAAGCCGTGAACTCACTCCCTGGGGTTCCCAGCCAGAATCTGCTAGAAACCAGGAGGGAGCCACGTGACAGCGGCTCTGGACTTGGGCTCAGGCTCTGGAGCTCTGATGCGCAAGGACCTCTCTGGGGACCCCAGGAAAGGGGATGCCGGAAAATATCCCGGGTGCCGGAGGTCCGACGGGGGTCAGTCTCATGCCAGGCAAGAGCCCTACCTGCTCTACCATCACTCCAGCCCCCTGCTAGTCCTTTTTCGACTTCTAACGTTTTCTGACTTCTTGCTGTTGTCCTCAGATTACAAGGAAGAGAGAGCTAGTGCATCTGCTGTTAACGAGATAATTTTATTAACCGCTTGGATCATTTTAGGAGTGTCCGAAAAAGTGGGATTAGAATAAGATATTTTACTTTTTGGAAGTGAGATGATTTTATTTAGGAAGCAGGAAGAAAAGGAGAGCGAGAAGTGAGAAGGGGCTTTCGTTATCCATAAAATAGAAGGAAGGAATTCCGCACTCTTAGGTTGGGATGCAGAGTGGGATGCCAGAACCGGATCTGTTAACTGAGTAGTACTGTCACTGTGGCATCAGTTTGCTCCAGGGGGCCCAGTAACATTGTGAGGCTCGTTGTTGCTGTGTTTGGCATATCGAATACGTCTCGGAGAGCTTGCCAGGCTTTGCCGTGAGGGCGAGATACTCTTGGTAGATTGCCGGACTCTCCTAGAGGGCTGGAGGAATGGAAGTCTGGTCTGCCCCGTCAGCGGCAGGCAAAGCAAATGCCCTACCCGCTGTGCTATCGCTCCAGCTCAGCAAAGATATTCAGGTATAAATGATGTGTTCCAATGTGCAAGAAAACCTCACGTGATTATGCAAGGAAAGCTCACGTGATCGTGCTTGTTTGTAGGCTGCCTTAAGACCAACTGATGTTGTGCTCGAAGTTGGACCCGGAACTGGCAATATGACTGTAAAGTTACTCGAAAAGGCTAAAAAGGTAAAACACTTAGTTTTTGATACCAGAAATAAGTATGTGAGCCAATTCACGTGGTTTACAAAATGTGAATTTGCTTTGTTACTTGTTATTTAACAATAATACTAAATGCTTTGCCAGGTGTATCTTAGAAAATTTGATATGGATCCGTGAGAACAGAAACCATATTAGATCCTTCCACATAGAAATTTTAATTCGATTTCTCTGTACATTGCCTTGAGAAGTGATCCCTGCTGTGTATCCTGGACCTTAGTGATGAGAAAAGTGATATACTCCTCCTCAGAACAGTTGTTTTTTTTGTTGTTGCTTTTGTTTTTGTACTATATCTGACAGTGATTTAATCAGATGTGGTCGGAGGCTAGTCTGGGCTCTGCTGAGGAGTTGTTCTTGGCAGTACTTAGGGAACCAAGCAGTACAGGGGATCCAGCCTGGGTCTCTCATGCAAAGCTTGTGCTCAACCTATTGAACGTATCTCTTCAGCTCAAAAATACATGTTTTCTGTGATTCTTAGTATATCTTTACGGTGTATTTTTTTCCCCCATCATCTCCTCAGTCGGAGCCGATGAGTGTGATGATAAGAAAAGATTAAACTTAAAAAGTAAAGTAAAGTAAAGGCCCTCCCGTTGATCATCGATTTGCTCGAGCGGGCCCAGTAACGTCTCCATTGGAGACTTTGTTGTTACTGTGTTTGGCATATCGAATACGTCACGGGGAGCTTGCCGGGCCCTGCCGTGAAAAAATTTATGGAGAGGAGGGCCATGGCAGAGAGTGTATTAAGATGCTTGCACTGGGTTTGATTCCTTACACCCTGTGCCCACCAGGAGTGACCACTGAATACAGAGCCAGGAAAATGGCCTGAGCACTGCCTGGTGTGGCCCAAAGCCAAAATAAATATTTTTAAAAACTTCATTTTTGTTTTTGGGTTCTGGGCTATACCTGCTGTGTAGGAGTGATCCCTGCTAGTGCTCGAGGGATCATGAGTAGTACCGAGAATTGGAACCAGTCTTGGCAGAATCCAGAGCAAGTATCTTACTAGCTCTCTGGCCTCCAAACTTGTATTTTTGGTATTTTCAAGTTGTTGTTTGAACTTGCTTCATTGTGTATTCAGGCACCGTGGTTTCCAGTACTTTCCGTAGTGATGCTCCAGGCATTCTGCGTTCTAGCACTGAACTTATCACCAGAGTGTCAGCATATTTCCACCATTGTTTCTAGGCTCCTCTTAGTTAGTTCTGTAGGTCAGCTCTGAGTCTTTCACCATTGTTTGTTTCTAAATTTAGGTAATTGCCTGTGAACTTGACCCAAGGCTTATAGCTGAACTGCACAAAAGAGTTCAGGGCACGTGAGTATGCATATTAGAGTTAAAGTTCATTTTAGTCTCATGGAACAGTAATTATTTTTTAATTACTTTTTTTTTTTTCAATCAGGCCTGTGGCCAGCAAACTTCAAGTAATGGTGGGTGATGTATTAAAAACTGATTTGCCATTCTTCGATGCTTGTGTGGCAAATTTGCCTTATCAGGTACGGTTTCAGATTATTTGGGGCATTATACTGAGCCATTACATTCAATACATATACTGTTGCACATATTTGGTATGTTAACTACTTTATTCTCTTACAGATCTCTTCTCCCTTTGTCTTCAAACTCTTGCTGCACCGACCTTTTTTCAGGTATGTGACAAAAAGACCAAAATTACTGCCCAGTCTTAGGAAGATAATAGACCATGAAACCACAGAACCAAAGAGGAAAGTCAGTTAAATTGAAATACTACTGAGAATTTGTTTAGTGAAAAGAATTGATTTATGTAGCAGTTTTTCTCTCTTTTTTCAGCTGAGTTACTTGGTGACGACATGGTGTGAATCTTGCTTCTGAGACCAGACTCTCACTAATTTTTCATCCTCGACATTAGTCTAGGTTAGACTCTTTACTACCCTATTTTTAGACAACTGTGACTTCCTGATTAGTTTCTAGTATGTCTATGTACATCTTTCATAGGCAAGTCAAGAACTATGTAGTGATTATAAAACAAGCTTACTCATGACCATTGGGCTTTTGTGTTTGGATTTTGCATCACAGTGGTGGTGCCAAGGGCTAACTCCTGGTCCTGTGGCCAGGGATCACTCCTGGCAGGGCTCAGGGGACCATACACAGTGCCAGGGATCAATTCAGAGTCTGTTTCATGTAAGGCAAGCGCTTTACCCCCTAGTTCTATCTATCCAGCCCACAATCATGGATGTTCAGAATGACACTTAATCACTTAACTTCCCGTTAGTCGTCAATTTGCTTGAGCAGGCGCCAGTAACGTCTCCATTTGTCCCTGTCGCGTGCTAGTGTAGCCCAATGGCATCTGTTCGCTCCGGGAACATAAAGGGCCTCAAACCGATCGTTCATGATCTTGACGAAGAAGTCTGACCATCTGGTAGGTTTTGACATTCCGTGGAATCCAGTCGGTAACAGCTCTAGTCCAGCGGTCGTCTTTAAATCTCATTACATGACCAGCCCATCTGATTTTCGACACCTTGGCAAATGAGACAGCGTCCCTGATCCTTGATCGTCGACGGATGTCAGAACTCCGGATTCGTTCTCTCATTTGAGTGAAACGTGATATTCCAAGCATAGTTCTTTCTATTCTTCTTTGGGAGACCTGAATAGTGTTCTGATCTTGTTTGCGTAGGGCCCAGGTCTCTGAGGCATATGTTAATGCAGCTGTCCTTGAAGGCTTCACCTGACCTTGAAGGCTTCACCGACATGGCAGCACTGAGAAGGATGAGAAAGGAGAGGCCGACAAAATCTCAAGGCCGACCTAGGCTGCCACAACGAAGGAAGACAAAAATGATTGTCTGTACTTTCAATGCACGTACGCTAGCATCAGGTGCATCCATCGAGGACCTGATGGTACAAGCGCGAATGATCAAGTACGACATCATTGGTCTGACCGAGACAAGAAGGCACGAATCTCACCATGCCGTTTTCGACACTGGAGAAGAATTGTTCCTCGGAACATGCGATAAAAGAGGTGTTGGAGGCATCGGTGTCCTTGTCAACACAAACTTGGCCAAGAGCATTGATTCATTCGAATGCCTAACAACCCGAATCGGACGTTTACATTTGAATAGATGTGGCTCACTGCCTGCAGTTTCTATCTTCGTTGTCTACGCACCAACATCTCATTATGATGAAAGAGAAATCGAGAAGTTCTACATGGGGCTGGAGAAGTTCTATAAAGAAGACCACACCTTCTACAAGATCATTGTGGGTGATTTTAATGCCAAGATAGGACCGAGAAGATCAGCTGAAGAACTTCACATCGGGACCCATGGCCTAGAATGGAACGAACAGGGTGAGAGACTGTCTGAGTTCATCATGTCAACCAGGACCATCCATGGTAACTCACAGAATGACACACGATAGATTATATCAGAGCACATTGGGTTCCATATGGTTATACTTTCACAAAACCTTTGCATGATTTATACAAATATACAAATGTTTGTGGCCTAGATTTTGTACTGTGACTCCTGGTCTAACGTTTAGAACTCGGGCCTGGAGGGATAGTATAATTACTCCTTTCCCACTCAAGAAAATACATTTATGATTGAAAGTAACCATTTTCTCTCTTTCTACTTTCTTTTCAGATGTGCTATACTTATGTTTCAGAGAGAATTTGCTCTCCGGCTAGTTGCAAAACCTGGAGATAAGTTATATTGCAGACTTTCGATTAATACACAGCTATTAGCTCGTGTAGACCATCTAATGAAAGTAAGTGATCATTATTGAAGTAGTGTCACAAAACTCATCTTTGAAGATCTGGCTTGCATTACACATGGAGAGCATTTGCTTATGAAGGTTATTCTTGACAAACTCTAACCTTTGTGATGAACAGGTTGGTAAGAATAACTTCAGACCTCCACCTAAGGTAGAGTCCAGTGTTGTGCGAATAGAGCCGAAGAATCCGCCTCCACCTATCAATTTTCAGGTGAGATTAAAATACTGAGCTTTTAGTAGCTGGAGAGATAGTACAGTGGGTAGGGCTCTTGCCTTGAACACCCAGCTTCAGTCCCCAGCATCCTGTGTCGCCCCAGAAGTAATTCCTGAGTGCAGAGCCAGGAGTAAGTTACCTCTGAGCATCATTGGGTGTAGCCCAAAAAAAACAAGAAAAAACATTCTGAAGCTTGAGATGAAGGTGGGCACCAAAGTGTTGAGCCTCTCCAGGGCAGCTTCCCTGTTCTGGTAATTAAACTCTGGGACGCTAAGATATCAGCTGGGGGAAGTTGACTGGGTAGAAGGTATTTCTCGATGCATTTCCCTCCTAGCCTACAAAAAATGAAGATGGGGGAGGTCATCCCAGAATATGTGCGTCTGAACATTGTGTGCACATATATGGCCAGCCAACGTAAAAATGAGCCTGAATGTCAAGCAGAAAAATGCTACTTAGGGTACATCCCTGTGGAGGAGTAGATGGAATAATTTGACACAAGATAGGTATAAAAACCAGAAATGATCATGGACGTTGTTCATGAAGCCTGACAGATTATCATTGCGTTTTGCTCTAATTGTGGCTAAGAAAAATAGGTATCTATTTGATTAAGACTTGGGAAATGAGGGACTGATGAGATAATGGAAAGGGTTGGGCATTTGACTTACAGGTCTGACCTAGGTTTGATCCCCACACCTCATATGGTCCCTAGAGCCCACCAGGAATGATCCCCGAGCACAGAGCCAGAAGTAAGTCCTGAGCACAGCCTGGTGGTGCCCCAACATCTGAATGCCATGTCATTTTTTCAGCAATGGAAGAATCTCATTTTTTTTTTTCCTGAGCTTTAAAATTGAGGGTAAACTATTCAGTGAGGACCCATGGGGAGAAATCTGAGGTAATTTGCATGGCCAGGGAGTTCCATCCCTGGGACTGCATGATACTCTGAGCACTGCAGGGTAGGGCCGGTGGCCTCTTACACACTGAAATGTGAGACCCGCACAACTGAATGGTCCCCAGGATCCGAGCACTACCTGAGGAGGGCTCCTCCTAAAAATATATATAAATGAAATGTGCACGTGTGTGTCAGCTGAATCAAGATCTGGAACATTGTGTTCACTCTAGAAGGTTCCTTCCAGTTTTATATATTAAAAGACAATAATTTCTAACAACCCTGGACGAGAATTTGGAATTTTGTAAGAAACGAGTCACCTTCTCTTTCAGGAATGGGATGGCCTTGTTAGGATCACCTTTGTTCGGAAGAATAAGACTCTGTCTGCTGCATTTAAGTAAGTATTTTACAAATTTGTAATGTGTAAAGGACGTTGTCATAGAAAGGACTGAGGTAATTGTTAGAATTTTCTTTTTCTGGATAGACACTTAAATATATTTAGGATTTAGAATCTAAATCATAAAGATAATCTCAGGCTAGACACGCTTGAAAAAAACTTTTGAACTAACTTTGGACTTTGGGTGGCAGGCGAGTTTAATGACAAAAGTTCCCGTTTGAGGGGGAGATTCGATTTTTCAGCCAAATAGGGGACACTGATCACACATCACCTGCCCGATTTCCCTTTGAAGAGACGGTGTGATGATGAACCTCTTCCACACTTGATTTATGATAGACATTTGGAACTTAAGTGTATAAGAGAATACTCAGTCCCTTGGTTGGAGCTGATGGCTTCAAAGCTGAGGGCCACCAGGCCATACTGGTGGTGCTGGTGAGAAGAGATGGCACATCAGCTCAGAATCGCATTCAGGGTGTTGTGCATGCTAAGGGTACACCAGCCCTCCAGCTCTCTCCCCAGCCCTTGATGTAATCTTGAATTTTAGAGTAGGTCATTTCTATTGTCTGGTACTGGAATAATATTGATAGCACGTTTTTAATCCTTCAGGTCAAGTGCAGTACAGCAGCTACTGGAAAAAAACTACAGAATTCACTGTTCGATCCATAACACTGTAAGCAGAAACTGTTTCCGTGATTTCAGTGATTTTGTTGTTTTAAAACGGCATTTTCTTTTGCCTCTCATTGGGAGATCCTAGTTGCATACATTCCATGGACTCTTTCAAAGGCATTTATTACAGCTAACCTAACAAACTGTCAGGTCAGTGCTGCTGTACATTGAACAACCTGTTTCTTCACTCTGTCCCCTTTCTGACAGTTGTCTTTAGCCATAGATTCGGCTGAGCAACAATTTTACTGAAAAAATTGGTGGAAGTGAGGAGTAGAGCGATAGTACAGTGGGTAAGGCACTTGCTTGCAGGCAGCTGACCAGACTAAAATTTGTGGCGTCCCATATGGTCCACCAGGAGTGATCCCCGAGTGCAGAGCCAGGAGTAAGTTCTGAGTACCTCCAAGTGTGGTCCAAAAACAAAATTAAAGGGAACCCCCCCCCCCCCCCCCGTTTTTAGGTCATACCTGTTAATGCTCTAAGGCTTCTCCTAGCTTTGTGCTTGCAGGTCACTCCCAGCAGAGCCCAGGGAACATGGGCAGAGGCTGGGGTGGAGCTGGGGGCGGGGGAACATGCAGAACATAGGGCCCAGCCTGAGTAGTCATTTTATTAGACCTCTAGAAATATGTAGCATATTCGCCTTAAAGTGATTTGAAACATTTGCCCCCCTCTGAGTTGAAATCATCCGTTCTTGTTGCTTACACAGTCATTACAAGTTTAGTTATCATCTCAGTAACTTTCTAAAATCTGGATGTTGGGAGGTGGAGTGATCGCACAGCGGGTAGGGCATTTGCCTTGCACGTGGCCAACTTGGGTTCGATTCCCAGCATCCCATATGGTCCCCTGAGTGCCGCCAGGAGTGATTCCTGAGTACAGAATCAGGAGTAACCCGTGTATCGCTGGGTGTGACCCAAAAAGCAAAATAAAAAAACCTGGATATTGAAATAATTATAGCAGATTTTTGGTTGTGACCCTCATGCTGTTATTTGTAGAATTTTTTTTAGCAAATTTTACATGATTATGCACCCATTATCATAAATAATGTGGTTCTTGGCAACGTCTTAATTTTTCCTTGAGTTTTGGGCCACTCCCAGTGGTGCTCAGGGCTTATTCCTGGCTCTGTGCTTGGGGATCACTCCTGGTGGGGCTTGAGGAACCATGTGTGATACTGGGAGCCGAGCAAGGCAACCAGCTGTGATTTTTTTTTTTTTTTTGACAGTGGTTGGAGGATTTTTGCCACAACTCACTGTGCTAGGCTCTAGTGCTCAGGGAACCATACGAGGTGCTGGGGACTGAACCCAGGTTGGCCACATGCGAGGCAAGTGCCCTGCCTCCTGTACTATCCAGCCCCCACTGGCTTTTATTTTTAAAGCAGAAACAACTACTTTAACTATTTTAGTTCTAATTATGTATTATGCTTGAGCGGGCCCAGTAACGTCTTCTTTATGAGACTTGTTATTGTGTTTGGCATATCGAATACGTCACGGGATTATGAAGTTATGTAATGAAGACTGAAACAAACTATTTCAGATTTTCTTTAACTTCTCAAGTAGTGCTTAGAGGACCAAGAGGCTACTCCTGAAGTATTTGGCCAGTCAGGCACAGTGGTTCTTTGCTGTTTGTGGACCACCAGGCTGTACCACCACGTCCTCAGGGGCTTCCAGTACTCGGCTGTCCTAGGTGGGGGGCCGGATAGGCGTGGCAAGCTGTGCATAGTCTTGGGAGCCCCAAGGTTGTAAAGCATGCACCATTCACCTGTTAGCTCTCCAGTACCTGAATTTTGGAATCTGGGGGGGCTTGGGGAGGGCAGGAGTGGGAGGAGGTGGTATCTGTGTCACACATGGTAAAGATTAGAGGCTACTCCCCGTTCTGTGCTGCGGGAGTGGGAGTCACTCTTGGTGGTGCTCAGAGGCCATTCCTGGCATATGCCGTGGACAAACAATATGGTTTTCTTTAAACAGGGATTTTATTTGTTTAAAGGGATCAAACTGAGCCAGGGTTGGCAGCATGCAAGCACTTGACCCTGTACTACATCTCTGGCCTCTATTGATCCAGTTCTCATTGGCACAAATAGGCTTTCACACTGTCAGAAACAGATTGATTGAAGGTGACTACGGCTTACTGAACCAGAAAAAAAAAAAAGAGTCAGGTGACTTCATTAAAGATGTTTTCATTTATTCTGAATCTTATATTGATAGATAATACCAGAAGATTTCAGCATAGCAGATAAAATACAGCAAATCCTAACCAGTACAGGTTTCAGTGACAAGCGGGCCCGTTCCATGGACATAGATGACTTCATTAGGTAAGTACATTTTCCTTTTTCTAAGTGTTTACAGTTCTTAATGGTGACACCTTCATATCAGAGACTTAAAGGCTTTTAAGCGGTTTAAGGTGCTACCAGGAGTTATTGCATAGCACTTCCATGGCATGGAATAGTATTTGGTGTAGAAGATGGAGGCTAGTTAGCTGCATCGGAATGAACATTTGAAGAACAACGAAGAACAGTCTGAGCCAGGAGATAGCCTTCGTGCCCGTTTGTGGGGGGTGTGTGTGGTCTTCCCATCAGCCCGTCCCCAGTGTCTGTTCATACTTAAGTTTTTGAGTTTTTCCTTTTGGTCTTTGGGCTGCACCTGGCAGTGCTCAGGGTCTTCTCCTGGTTCAGTATTCAGAGTACCTTGTGGTGCTAGGAACTGACCCTAGGCAAAGCATGCACTCCAGCCTTTGGAGCCATTTCCCTGGCCCTCAGACTTAGTCTTAATAGTGTACTGTCTCTTCAAAGTTGCCTAATAAGTACAAGAGACAATATGTATCATTGGATTTCTTTTAAAAAAATACAATAAGCTAGCGCTAAATATTAAGCATGAAAGAGTTTCACATTAAAGTAATTTTTCTGACTGAAGTAGTAGATACTTGTTTTTTAGATTGACACAGGTTTTATATATACTGCAAGTATCTTTAATTTTCTGGGCAATGCAGACAAGTTTGTTTTCATTAGGTGAGTCTTAAGAAAGCAGACTTCAGTTACACCAGTAATTATATTTTTTAATCACATAACACTTCCATTTCCTAACTAAAACAGTCAATTCATTTAAAATGTTTATTTTCTAGAGACTGAGTAAAACCTGAGGATAGTTCAAAGTCAACGATGTGACTTAGAAACCGGCAACACAGTTCAGTATAACAAAGAGTTTATATTTTACTGGCTGACCAGTTGTACTGCTGTTTCAAATGTCAGTACTAGAAACTGAAACTACTCATAAGTACCTAACTTCCAAAGGCCAGGAATGTGGCTTACCTATAAACTGAATGCCTTACATGCATGAGACGTGGGTTTGATCCTCTGGCATTGCATAAATAAATAAAAAGTACCTAGTTTCTTTTTGGACATTTTAACTCATTTTAGTCTCCTACAGCAAGCCTTCCTGAACATAATCTCAGATTCAACATTTTCCTTAGCTTCATCCTTACCAAATTTCAAGGTTTTAGGCATTTGCAGTTTGCGAACTGGTAATTAAGTACCTGAAGTAAAGAAGTAATGTCAGTGTTTAACTCGAACTTAAGAACTGAGAGAGTTAAAATGGGCCATTTATCTCTCTTGAATTCCAAGTCACTGCTGTTCTCTACAGTGCTGAAATGGAAGAATGTCAGTAACCTTAGACCTGGTGTAGTGGAGTCCTGAATAATTTTAGCCCAATTTATTCTAAGCCATACAGGCTCTGACAAAAAAAAGGTATCAAAATGCTTATTTTTGGGGCTGGAGCAATAGCACAGTGAGTGGGTAGGGCGTTTGCCTTGCACACGGCCGACCCAGGTTCGATTCCCAAGCACCGCCAGGAGTGATTACTGAGTGTATGAACCAGGCGTAACTCAAGTGCATTGCTGGGTATGACCCAAAAAAGCCAAAAATAAAAAAAAAAATTAAAAATGCTTATTTTATGTACTTCAAAAAAAGTGAAAACAAAAAAATGTTTTCACAAACATTTATCTTATTAACTGGAAAGTAAAGCTGCAATGAGTAGTATTAGGAGCAGGCAGACTTTGAGCTTGCTGATACGTTTGTGTTTGGGAGTTCACTGTTGAGGAACTAGGCTGTGTTCGTGGGATACAAAACTCGGCTCTTGTCTTCATACCATTTCAGATTGCTACACGGATTCAATGCAGAAGGTATTCATTTTTCATAAGTATCTGGAAACAGTCTTTCAAGTTCAAGAGAAGAAACTGGACTTACGTTTGGAGGCCAGACCTGGGTGCTCAGGGGACAATACAGTGCAAGATCAAAGCTGGGCCTCTGGATACAAAGCATTTGCCCTGCTCCTTTGAGCTATCTCCCGTGCCCTGGGTTTCTGTATTGTTAACAATTTGAGATGAACTGTTCTATTGCTTAAGAAACTGTTCTTACCTATTCTGGATTACTACTGTTGATCTAACATCTTAAGGAAATAAGTCAATTGTAAAAACCCGGTTATTTTTCATTTTCCTTTGTTTTTATAACATAGGGCAGGGTCCAATCTATATCTGACAGTCTTCAGTGTTGAAGAGCAGCAGACTCGCACAAGAATATACACTTAAACATGCTTATCTTCTGTTTTCAATGACATACATATGTATTACTGAGATGACCTCCTCAGGGCTTTCAGCTCTTTAGGCCTTTGTCCTTCAAACAGTAAGGTTAAAATTAATGCTTAACTTAATGAAATATTTTCAAAACCATTGTTATCCATGTATACAGTAAACATTTAATATATTGAATTTTGCTTCTTAGTCTTTTTATCCTCTACAGCTTCTGTTACTACCTATTCCTTTAGCGATCCTGTAGGATCATTGTCCATATGGTTCTGAGCTCTTGCCGCTGACATGGTGGATGAGGCCTATTCCTTTACAGGCATATTTCCTCATCTGTAACAATGCTTGTATGTTTTTTCTTAGGTAATCACTTTAACAAGATTTCAAAGTTTTGAAAATCAGAAGTTAAAATTTCTGCCCTTCAGTTTTTCTCTTTTTGTGTGTATGTGTGTGTGGGGGGAAGCAAGGGGGCACACCCAGCGGTGCTCGGGGATCACTCCTGGTACTCAGGAACCATATGGCATGCTGGGAATCAAACCCAGGTCAGCCATGTGCAAGGCAATCGCCCTGCCCTCTTTATGGTCTCCCCCTGCCCCTAGAATTTAAAACAGTAAACACAACCAGCCATTTCCCCATTGCTTTTGATTCCTAATAATTCATGACTTCTGAATAAAATTTCCATTATCTTTTCATACTATTGATACATATAAGCTACTTAAAAAAATACTAGGTTGAAAAAAAAATAAGTTTATTAAGTTGTTTCTTGGGGCACACCCAGTTGTGCTCAGGGACCAGTACACAGTACCAGAGTTGAAGGAGGACTGGGAGGGTTTGATGCCTCACTTCCTATATTGTACCATCCAGCCCCACTGTGAATGTCCCCTAATTATGACTAAGGAAATGAAATACTCTCAGCAGTTGGGTTTTCTTAGGTTCTTGGTTTGGGAGCCACACCTAATTCTAGCTGTGGGTGTGGAAGGGGCCATGTGCCCTGGGCACTGAACCCAGATATCCCTTACACAGAGCATGCATTAGCCCCACTGGGCTCTCCCCAGCCCCACTGTATCTTTTAATGGAACCTAAATCATTTTAGTATGGTATACTGAATTTGAAATATGCTTTCAAGTGATATTAAGATATTCCCGTATAAATAATGCATTCTTACTAATAGGAATATCAGTTTTTCAGTCTTGAGAATGTTTAATCCAGATCCAAAAATTTAATAGCTGCACTGAATGGCTTTTATTACACGTACAAATGTGTGTGTGTGTGTGTGTGTGAAAGAGAGAGAGAGAGAGAGACACACAGAGACAGAGATGGGGGGAGAGAAGGGGACACAAGGGCTATACCCGATGATACTAGGAGGTGGGGAGGGGAATGTTGTGCTAGGGATCAAACCCAGGGCCTCACGTAAACTATATTCACCTGAGCCATATCCCTGGCCCCTTGTTACATAAATATGAAATATAATTATGAGCAGGTTTTTTCCAATCTCACAAAGTTGTTTTGTACCATCTTTTCCTTTTATGAAAAATGTAATACTCTTCTATCTGAACTAAATTTTAGTCCCTTTCTGTTCCTTCCATATTCTCCATCTTGTAAAACTGAAGAACTGGAATATAATATAGAGATTTTTTCCGGTACTTACTTTTAATGTATCCTGACTATTGATAAAAATGAAGCCATTGTGGTATAAGGCGAGCATATTCGGATGAGAAGACCTTTCAGAAATACTACTCATCAAATTTAAATAAATTAAGACTTATCTTTGTGCTTTAAAATTAGCAAGTTCACATCTCTTTATTGCCATCTGCAGGTCAATCTCAAAGACTACCTTCTTTTAAATAGCCTCTGTAAGGTTAATAACAGTTCTTCATTCTACCTCTTCCTTTTGAAATCAATGTAAATAGAACCTATCTTATAGCTGCAAGATAACCTGAGTCCCTTCCAAACAAAGGCGATTGTAATGAAGTAATTTAGCTCTTAAATCTTAAGCCATAGATTTCATTTATTAATAAGAACACCGTGAAAATCTACATCTCTAGATTTCAAGTTTATAGAGGAGCTTTACATCATGGTGCTAGGATTTCCTACAGCTACCCTCTGGGTCTGTGAAGAGTGAAGAAGGGGATATGGCTCAGGTGACACTATTCATAGCTTCCTTTGGGCTCAGATGAATGAGCCAATAGTTCCCCCCAGTAAACCAAAACAAGGTATCCTCGAGAAACGTTTTGTTGTAATCTACTCCTGGACTCTGTCCTGGGAACTGAAGGAACAACTCCTAGAGAGATACATAATTCTTTTAACAAAATATTTACATTAAAACCAGCCAGTTTTCTTCCTTGGAATAGCAACCTGTAAAGTGCCACTATTTATAAAGCAGCATACTCTACACCAATTTATGTGTGAAAAACTGATTTTCACCAAATAATGATGAACTATACAATTGGTAATGAATGGGTGGAGCTTGGATTACATCTGCTTCGTGGCAAAAAAGCCAACTCTTGTAGCTTACTTCTTTTTTCAAGGGTGTTATGTACTGTCTACAATTGGCTTAAACTAACAGTTCTATTATGGACTACTTTCACTGTACATGTAATTGTTCATGCAGCAGAAGCCAATTTCCTTTCACAGTACACTTAAAAGGTATACTTTTGTGTGCTAATGGACACTTAAACAATGGTATTGGGAAAGATCAAATTGCACAATCAGTCTTGTTAATACCACACTGGAACACACACTGCATATTATTACCCTAAGATAAAACTCCTCTCAGAATTTCATTACTCTTTATTATACACCAACTAGTTTATAGTTTAGTTCTTTACAAAGAAAATGCTAAGAAAATTATAATCACGTTGTATGGTCTTAAAATCATAATTCCAGACTTCTTTACGTGTAAGATGGAATGGTCCAGCAGCTATGTCCACTGTCACAGACTTTAGTTCCATTCAATGATATGGCACATCCTGCAAAATTAACTAGTAACACACACACACACACAAAAAAGTCTCAAACACAGTATAAATGTACACACAATAAAGGTAATTTACAGTAACAAATAAGGAATGTAATTTATCCTGGCTGTGCTTCAGAAATTTAGGGTCAATAGCCTTAGTCAAGGCACAAAGCAGGAAGAGGTGAGCACAGCTTTCTCTAGAAGTGGGCAAGGTATGTACAATCACTGATGAGGTATGCATGCACGCAAAAGATTGAAAACTTCTCAGTCTTGCTACGAAAAATTGCATCAAGTTAAAAGGAAATGCTGTGGTTCCCCTACTCTTCACCTCTGGATCAGTTCCACAATCTTACTTCATTATATAGAAAATAAAATTGGCAAAGATTTCCAAAAGTAAATCACTATTTGGGTAAATGAAACAAAATACTTCAATATTCCCATATCTTGGTTGTGCCTCCTGGACTAGAAGCATTTTGCAGACAAATGAGTGTTTCACAAAATTGAAATGTCATTCAGGTGAAGGGACAAGACATTTCCCACCAACACTTAAAATTTCAAACTTTCCAATGGCCCTTACAGCTGACCCACTGTATGTTACAGGAGTGAGGGTTCTGGGGATCCTTTTGCAGCAAATGCCAATTCAAAGGGCACGGGGTCTCTTCGGGTTGATTTGTTTGCTGGCTTGTTCTTCCTCTTGTAGAGCTGCACGGAAAGATTTCACTTTATCTTGGGGGGGGAAAAAAGAACAGGGAATAAGTATTGCATGACATGCAAAGAGGAAGCAAGTTTAAGGGTCTCATTAGCTCGCTTCACAACATTCTGTTCCATGTGGTACATTTCAATTTTAATCTATTTGAAATCATTTTTCAAATGATTATATCATTAAATTAAATCATTAAATCAAATGAATGCACCATACTATTGATATATACGCATGTAAATATACACATATCAATCTATATACACAAAAACACACACAGTATATACAGTCACATGAGGACCACTTAATCATATTGATCTGCAAAACAGACATCACTTAGTATTCAGAAAATGTCTGCTTCCAATTCCTAGTTTACTTATTCAAGCTATCAAAGGTTAAAGCATTTCAATTTAAAAGAGATGTTGAGGTAATTCAGAGATAACAGAATGGGTAGGGCACTTAACCCATGCTGTGCAGAACCAGGGTTTGACCCCTGACAACATACTAGAACTCCAAGCCCTGCCAAGAGTGATCCCAGCAGTGCAGAACCAGGAGTCAATATGGCAGAGTGTAGCCCAAAAGCAAAAAAATAAAAAGATGTCATTTTTGTCTTAACAAGGACTGTGAAGGAATTACACAATTTGAGGATTTGCGATTTTCTGGACTAAAAGATTCTGTTTTAATACCCATTATGTACCAATTCATAATTATAGAAGGATAAGAAAATCATCTATTAAGATAATTAGCCTCCCTATAGTTTTTAGTAGGGGTGGTTTTTGCAACATGGGAAATGTTTGGTGTCTACAGAATTTTGTTTTTTTGGATCACAATGGCTATGGTCCAGACACTCCTGTTCTAAACTCAGGGACCACGGATGGCAGGGATTGGGAATAATGAGTGGTGGCAGGGAACAAATTTGGGTTGGACGCATGGACGCATGCGAGGCGAACACGCAACCCTCTCTCTCTCAGGCCCTACAGAACTTTCTTTTGTCAAAACTGAAAAAAACTGGAAAAAAAAAACCTGAAAAAACTGAGATGATATTACTGTTAGCCAGTTAACAGAGACCAAGATTCACTTTTTGTTTGGGGGAAGGTGGGGTGGGGAGGTGGGCACACCTTGCAGTGTGCAGCTGGGGCTTATTCTTGTTTCCGTGCTCAGGGATCACACCCGGCGGGCTGCAGGTGGGAACTGAGTCTCCTCTATGATACCAGGGGCTCAAACCTGCAAGCATCCTACCCACTCAAGCATCTCTTCAGCCCGAGACCAAGGTTCTTTGCATGCAGAAGTTATGGGTTGAATCCCTGGTACTCTATGAAATTCTGAGCATCAGTGGGAGTGACCCCCAAGAGTGACTCCAGGACGTATTGTACAACGCATAATGCTTATTCGCACACAAATGGACACAGCTAATTTATCACCACTGCCTACAAAATTATATATAAAATAAACATTTAACTTACATGGGTAAGTTAACTGAAAGATCACAAAAATATGGCATGTGGCTGTCATACGTCTTATTTTCTGAGGGGTGGGGGCCACACCAGGCTATGTTCAGGGCTTACTTCTGAACACCTTACCACAGTACTATCTCCCAGGACCCATTTGCTTCCTGTTTTAATAGAGAGGGCACTAATCTTGTAACTTTTCCTTGATTCATCTGGTTTTGAGGCAACACCCAGAGGTGCTCAGAAGCCCAAAAGAAATAATTCTGAGTACAAAGCCAGGATTAAGCCCTGAGCACTGCAGGGTGTGGCCCAAAATCTAGGGGGGAGGGGGTGAATCCTTGAACTGATCACATACAAATTTATTTGTTGTTATTTGTTTTGGCTCTATGCTCAGGTATCACCCTTGGTGGGATAGAGGTAACCAAAATGGGTGCTGGGGATCAAACCCAAGTCCAAGGCAAGCACTTCACCCTCTGTATTATCTCTTTATTCCACGAACAAAAATCACACTGACTTCAAACGGTAAAATGAAAAACTAATTACCCCGTAATTCAGTTAAAATATCTATTTTTTGCTCAAGAATAGCTTCAAGTTGTGTAGCATATGAATCGACATCATAGTCCACTTCTTCAGTCATCTCTAGGAGAGCTTTTTCATCTTCTAACCATCGAATGGATTCCTACAAGGACCAAAAAACATCCAATAATTTGCTAAGATATTTTTCCTATAAGACATAACAATTTACAATTATTTTGTATGTTAACGATACTCAAACATTAAATATTTTATTAGTATTAAATAGCTTAAAACTATAAAATAGTTACAAAGAGAATGTATCTTGGAATTTTGGGAAACACCAGGCCATGCATGGCATGGCTCTCGATGCTTGAGGTGCGCTACGTGATTCCAAGAATACAAAAGGGTTGGCCACACACAAGGCGAGTGCATCGGAAAGTACCGTCTTTCTAACACCAAAGCAAAATAAAGTAGTTATTTCCTGGGGCTAAGGAGAGAACTCTGTGATCCTATGCTCTTCATGGGCCAAAACCCGAGTTTGAAGCCTAACAACATGGTGTCTTTAGCACTGCCGGTGTAGCCCCAGAAGCCCCTGAAGAATGCAGGAAGGTTCCGGGGTCCCCAAAACCACAGGCCCCACACAGCCCTGCATCCTTAGGCCCTAGCATTAACCACCTTGAATACTCCTTGGAATGCTCCCCAGCCCGCACCCTCCCCCCAAATACAGTTCCTTAAATTCAAGCACAAACACAAAGGGTAAATAAAGCAATGGAACTTCATTGTTCTACTCTAACTCTACTACAGTAGGGATCTGAGGAATAAAACAAGTCACACAAACACTAAACAGTCAGTCTGCTTGGGATCTCCTTCTCCACCCTGCCCTACCACAGAGGACATAACCATTTGGCTCCACCTACCAGCTTTCCCAGAAAATGCAGAAAGCTTCCTGGCAGTGCAGGGGCACAAAAGATGAACCGGAGAGCCTCACAACCAATCAACAACCAGTACAATGGGAAACCAGTGCAAAACCCTGCAAGGAGTAAGCCCTGAGCACCACTGAGTGTGGCCCCAAAACAAAAAATAAAGAAAAACTCTTCTCAAGTCTCAAACCCTTTCTAAAAATGGACCACAAGCAAAAAGCCAAGGGAAGAATCTTTCCAGGAGAGTGCACAGAAAGGCTGGCTGTGACTGAAACTTCACCAGCACGGTCCTAAAAATACATACACACACAAAAATTCTGTTGTTGCTGTGCTGGGACCACACCTGCAAGCGCCTAGGATTTATTCTGGTTCTGCACTAAAGTCACTTGTAGCAGGGTTACGGAGTACCGGGGACTGAACCTGGGTTGGCCATGTGTGACGCAAGCACCTTACCCAGTGGACTATTAGGCCGCCCCCCCCCACAAATAGTTTTTTTACTTTACTACGATATTCAAAGAATTATTATTATTATTATTACTTGCTCTATGGGTCACAACCAGCGGTGCTCAGGAGTTACTACCCCTGGCTCTGCACTCAGGAATTATTCCTGGTGGTGTTTGAGGGGACCACAGGGGATGCCATGGATTGAGTCCAGGTTAGCTGCATGCAAGGCAAACGCCCTTCCTGCTGGACTATCGCTCTAGCCCCCATTAAGAAGTTCTAGCTACTCGTTTTTGTTGTCTTTTTTTGGTCACACCTGACAGTGCTCAGGGGACCAACTATGGTGCTTCAGGGAGCACCTTACTCGCTCAACTACTGTAATGAACCTGGGGGTTCGGGACAGAGGGAGTAGTTTAGGCGAGGGCCGGATAAGAGTGAACTCTGTCAAGAGTGAACTCTGGTGGTGTTTAGAAGGTCATGTGCAATGCCAGGGGTTCAAACTAAGAATGGACGCGTGCAAGGCAAACACCTTACCCCCTATGCTATCTCATCAGCCCCAGAGTTGTAATCAATTTACTTATGTAGAGACCTCCCCTTGAATTTTTGGTTCCAGTGTAGCCGAACTTGGAGACTGCTCCTGGCACACCAAGAATCAAACCGAGGGTCTCACACATACAAGGCCAGAACTCCGCCACTGAAGCACGACCCTGGCAATTTTTGCAAACAGTACCGTCTTCCTTTACCTGGAACACTGCCCTGTGATCTTCCACAACCTGTTCTTCCATTTCCACCATTTGAGACACAGCTTCATGGAAAGTAAACAACTGTGGAGAAACCTCTTCTTCCTTAAAACAGAAAGGTTTTTTTAAAAAATATTATTAGAAAATAACCAAGTTTTAATGGTAATCACCACTGAAACACAACATGGAACAAAGTTCACTTCTTCTTCGGGGTCAAAAATATTGAATACACTCAGTAAGGTAACAGAAACTTAAGCCTACGTATAAGAAGTGATTTTCACTCAGCACAGATTTCGCTGCAGAATTCTCTTAAAAAAGAATCTTTTGGTGCATTGTCTATCCTGGAGAAGCTCTATTTTTCAAACTGAGCTGTGTTCTTAGTTCCTATCCCCCCACCCCTATCTCAATCTGAAATGATTCTCAATTCTTCTGTTGTTCTTTTGCTCCACCCCAACTCCTTATTTCTCGAAATAACAATTTTATTTAAAAAAAAAACACCACTTTGTAATAGTGCAGCTTTTCAAAAATCTACCTGACGCAGGAGGCTGGAGGGACAGCAGAGTGGATAAGGCTCTTGCCTTGCACGCAGTCAAGCCATGTTCAATCCCTGATATCTCATATAGTCCCCCCAGCACTGTCAGGAGTGATTCCTGAAAGCAGAGCCTGGAGTAACCTGTGAGCATCAGCAGGTAAAACCCAAAACCAAACCAAAACAAAAAACAACAAAAACCATCTACTGAAGCTATAAATAAAACTATTTTCTCAGTATTGCTTACTTTTAACGACAATATAAATTATATAATTATCTCTTGTACCATCTCTCTAGTCCTAGGCACCCACTTTTTATCAGGACACTCAAGTTATCTCCCACATTCTCTCTGACACATATACTCAACATACCTTTACTCACTTTACCTGCTAACCACCAAGCTCAGATATCCTACTGCTTTCCTTTGCCTTGTGCTATAATGCAAATTCTCACTAGATCCTCACAGCCTACTCAAAATCTTTTTTTTTCCTGTGTAACTCTGAAAAAGAATTCTGAAGCACTACATTTTGCTTTAAGTTGACCACCTGTATTAATTTTCTCTCAGAGCATGTCTCTTATTTAATACGTAGGAGTCCACCCCCACCAAAGCTAGAGGGTTCTGGTCTTATCATTCTTAGCCTGTAGATGTGGGCCTGAGGTTTTAGTGCTTAGACTGGCAATGCAGTGTACTAAGGGATACAAAATCCCATTTTAGTCACTCTGTTAAGATTAAATTGTAGCATTTTTATATGTACATTTGCACCAATATTTGATAGTGGGTAATGCCAAATCAGCTCAATATAGTTTCCTGGGGTTGGTAGAATGGAAAAGAATCCAAACATGGAGAAGGCTCTAAGAACTCACGATGTCATGCTAAACCACTGAATTACTTCTGATAATCTGATCAACATATAAAATTAAGGTCCTGAAGAACAGCTGCATGAAATGCAAGGGCCAGTTAGCTCAATGGACTAGAGCATATGCTTTGCCATGTTTAGGGCTTGGCTTCAACTGTCACTGTGTCCTCCCGTTGTTCACTGATTTGCTCGAGCGGGCCCAGTAACATCTCCATTGTGACACTTGTTACTGTGTTTGACACATCAAATACATCACGGTTGGCTTGCCAGGCTTTGCCGTGCGGGCGAGATACTCTCAGTAGTTTGCCGGGCTCTCCGAGAGGGGCGGAGGAATCGAACTTGGGTTGGCTAGGTCGGCCCCGTGCAAGGCAAAAACCCTACCCGCTGTGCTATAGCTCCAGTCCTATGGACACTATATCCCAGAGTATACTCAGGAATAATCCCTGAGTACCACCAAGTGTGGTCGCCACAAAAACAAAAAATAAAAAGTGAAATAAGGACCTCAGAGACTAGTAGAAAATATTTGCTCACCACTCATCCGACAAAGGGTTAATATCCAAGATATGAAAAGCACTTATACTGGGTATCTACCCCAGGACATAAAAACATCATTCAAAAGGAAATACGCACACCACCATTATTCACTGTTGCACACAGTACAATAGTGAAGACATGGAATCAATCATCCAATGACAAATGAACTGACTATGAAGGTATGGTATACACATACAATAGAGTACTAGGCAGCTGCAAGGAATGATGAAATCATCTGGTTGGAACTAGAGGTAGCATGCTGATTGAAATATGTCAGAAGAAGAGAAATACAAAATGATCTCAACATATCTGTGGTATATAGAATACTGGATGAAGAAACTGTACTGTAGTGAAGGAGAGGATGCCTAGATCACCCTTGACCCCAATGTTCAGAGAGAAGGGCAGAGAAAGAAAGAAATCAAGACGGGGAGGAGAAGTGAAAAGGGAAGTTATAGAGGAGCAGGGGCCAGGGCTTCAGCTACACTGGGGATACGGGCGAGTGGGACAGCCATATAAGCAGAACACAGACCCAACAATGAAAACATCGGATTTAAGTTGCAATCACTGGAACTCTGAAATGTGCTTGTCAAGTGACAGGAAGGGGGTGGGGGTGGGGATAGATTATGGCAACAGTGGTGGAGGCATACTGCCATTTGTGGTGGTGTCTGAGTTGAAATATTATGACCTAAAACTCAACTACCAATAACTTGGCAAATCACTATTCATTACATTTAAAAATTCTTTTTAAAAAGGCATTTATAAAAGTCAGCAACAACAAAAAAACAACCACGCCGAAAACAAGTGAGAAGAGATGAACCAAGAGATAACACACAGGTGAACAACAGGTATATGGAAAAATGCTATCCATCACTGAAGATCAAGGACAAGCATATCCAAAAAATAAGACTGAAACACTACCTCACAGCAGTGAGACTGGCACACATCACAATGAATAAAACAACCAGTGTTGGAGTAGATTTGTGCTGGTAGGGAGGAAGTGAAGAACCCTCCTCTATTACTGGTGGGAATGTCAAATGGTCCAACCCTTCTGGTGAGCAACGTGGACACTTTTCAAAAACTATGATTTGATGACCCAGCAATTCCACTCTGGGCATCAACCCAAAGGGCCCAAAATCTCATCAGAAAAGACATTTGCACTCCTATGTTCATTGCAGCACTATTTACATTAGCCAAAATCTGTAAACAACCCGTGTCCAAAACCAGAACTGGATAAAGAAACTATGATACATACATATATACTTATATAGAATCATGCAATTTGCTAAGACTTGGATGGGAGTTATACTTGCATAGAGTCAGAAAGGAGCAGATAGAGAAATGAGCTGTCATATGCAGGCCATAAAGAAACACAGCAAGGGACTAACAAATGGACAATGACGAATAGAACTGAAAACTGGTCCACAGACTTGAGCGAGCCTACCATTTTGGGGGAGGACGACGATGCAGAAGAGGGTCAACTGAGTGGACTGAAGGTATGACGTTGGTGGAGGGTGTGGTGCTGAATGCTGTACACATGAAACCCTATCATTAACTGTATTGCAAATTATGATGCCTCAAATTAAAAAAAAAAACATTTTTAAAAAGAAGAAATGTAAAACCTACTATAGGAAGTATAGGGGCTGGAGCGATAGCACAGCGGTAGGGCGTCTGCCTTGCACGCAGCCAACATGGCCGACCCGAGTTCGATTCCTCCGCCCCACTCGGAGAGCCCGGCAAGCTACCGAGAGGATCTCGCCCGCACGGCAGAGCCTGGCAAGCTCCCCGTGACGTATTCGATATGCCAGACACAGTAACAAGTCTCATGATGGAGACGTTACTAGGCCCACTCAAGCAAATCGATGAACAACGGGAGGGCCTTTACCTTACCTTTTACTACAGGAAGTGACAATCTTAAGTTTAGGTTTTCCAATGGTGCAATGCAGGATTACTTTGGTAAATATTCTGAGAGCAACTACATTAACCTTTAACATTTTCAGTAAGGGCCAGAGAGGTGGCGCAAAGGGCTATGCACTGCAGGGTTTGGCCTAAAATAAAATACAAACCAAAGAAACTGCTAGGAAGCATAAAAAAAAGGAGTAACTTTAATGAATGATAGAATCAGTTGAGTAATTTTCAAATAATTAATTGCAGCTAGCAATAAACTTATGGCTCAAGTTTCAATCAGCACTTTTAATTTGTATGATTCTGGTCAAGTTATTTAATCTTTGAATGCTAACGAAGGGATAATCATTAGTATCTACCACATCCAGCTGTGAGGACTGTATCAGCTAAATAAAATATTTAGCAAATGCATACTATATATGTACTATATGCACTGTATAATACACCTATAGGAAGCACCTATAGATGATTACCTTTCATCATTATAAGAAATTGACACAGTAGGGTTATTTGTGAGAAGAGTAATAAAAAAGAGTGTGTATTTTTAAATAAAGTCAGGGGTCAGAGAAGGAACTCAGTAGGCCCACAGTGATACCCAAGCACAGAGCCAAGAGTACCCCCCTCCCCCAAACATCACCAGTTGTGTGTGTGCCTGAAAAACATCACCACCCCTTAAGAAAATGAAGCTAGTACTTTTTGTTTAGAGCGGGGTGAAGCGGGGGTCGAGTTGGGCCACACCCAGTGGTGCCTGCTTGGCGTTTCTTTCTGGCTTTTCATTCAGGGAACCATACAGAGCACTGAGGATCCAACCCAGGTCAGCTGCATGCAAGGCAAATGTGCCACCTACTTTACCTTGTCAGCCCCGAAGTTAATCTTAGCGTGTACTCTGATTGATATGCAACTATCCGACATCACTCACATTTTGCTCACAGAGAAGCTTCAGATCGTCTCTCTGAGGGGAACTGCCAACACCCCACTGTGCCTCTAAGTCATCGATCTGACTTGGTGGGTGGTGCATTACCGGACGAACATCACCGGCTGCAGTTGGATCCACAGTCAGTTCTTTCACCCTATAAACATGTAAGAAATATCTAATATTAGCGAATACTCTTGAAAAGGAACAAATACATTACAACTTATTCACATAAAGGTAATTCAATGAATACATTAAGATGGATGATGTCAGATTTGCAGATAAAACTTATCTACAATCTAAAAGTACTAAAGGTTAGCAGTACTCCTACATAAAAAAAAAATAAAAATACTAAAGGGACGGTAAACTAATTGTAGGGATCAACTTAGGTAGCTTTACAATTTTTCATATGTAATTACTGCACATAATAACAGAATTAAAAGTATGCAGTTTATTTCACAGTAAGTGACATTCAAATTATATTAGAGAAAATTAACAATGACCCAATTAATAAATGAATTATTGCTGGATTCTGAGAATGAATGCTGCAGCACTTTTAACTCAATCTTCAATAGCTACATGCTATTATTTCAAGCATAAAAATTATCATTTGAAGTTCCACCACTGAAAAAATATTTTCCCATTTAGTAGATGAAACTAGCTACGAAGATTCTAGCTATTTCCTTGCAGACAAGGAAATATATGTGTACAGAATAAAAGTAAACATGCAAAGATGACATCATCCTTAAAAACGTAGGAGGAAATAGGCCAATTTTCTAAAATCAATATTTTTAAAAGAAAATAAATAATAAAGTACATAAAATGAAGCTCAAGCTCATGCAGTAAGCCACCACCTGCCAAAACGAAAATGAAAAATGAAATGGCTCAGAACAAAAGAAGTATAAATGAAATATTTACATGTACAGCAAGTCAAAAGAAACTATTGAAATAAATATCTTATGTATAGAATGAAGTAGACCTGGTAATCGAAGGAGAAAAGTCGTCATACTCATAAGAAGGAGAGAGATCAGGGCGACTGCCACTACCCTGTGAGAAGGGAATGTCTGATGGACTAATTCCAAACTCCTTTACTCTGCAGCAGCACCAAACAGCAACAAATCAAAAGAAAATGCTCTTGTAAAGACAGTAATACACACTTAAAATCTGCACTTAGTACCACTTTTGTCTAGCAAAGGATATAAACTACTCTGGAGGTTTTTGAAATCTCACTGTACTTCTAATTTCCTTGATTCAGTACGACTGCCCCAAATAAACTCCCCTTTTCTGATGATCCTTCTAACTAGATGATTGATCACCTAAATTCGAACAATCTCTTCTCAACTGCAGAGTATTCAATATAATTACCCTGCGTGATAAATACAATGAATACGTTATCTACTAGCACTAATAAATCTTCAATAACAGTTTTTGTTAAAACAGATCACGAGAGAATTAAGTCTTAAGGGCACTCCACTGTTTGTAATAAATGAAGTTTTCCTCAGCATGTAGAAATGTCATTAGCTATGAAGATTTGTTGGTACAAATTCTGAAACTAGTTAATAAATTTTCTCTTTCGAGACTCAGATGTAAGACCATAGTTGAGAAAATGGAAATCTAAATTGCTTTTGCTAACCGTCCTTCTAGTGAAAATAAAATGATGGCTTTTCTAACCTGTATATATATTTTTAATTGTTGGGTCATACGTGGCAGTGCTCAGGAGGTTACTATTGGCTCTGCGCTCAGAAATTTCTCCTGCTATTGCTCAGGGGAACATATGGGATGCTGAGATCAAACCCAGGTCAGGCATAAGCAAGGCAAGCACGCTGCTCACTCTACTCTCTCCAGCCACCATATCTGTGATTCTTTATAGCACTTTTGGGATCAAACCTTTATCCCGCAAGCTACTGAAAGCACCTCTCCTTCACAGCCAAGCCTGGTAAGCTCCCCGTGAGGTATCTGATGTGCCAAAAACAGTAACAACAAGTCTCACAATTTGTTGTGAGACATTACTGGTGCCCACTCGAGCAGATCGATGAACAACGGGAGAAAAGTGCTACAGCGCTACTTAATGATTAATTACCTCATGCATGTCAAATATTAAGTTATTTTAGACTTCATATTATTTATTCCTAACAACAATTTTATATCGTCTCCATTTTACAGATGACAAACTGTCTCAGAAAAGTTATTCTAGCAAATCCGAAGTATGAGGCATAACTAGTTAAAAAGTAGCTTTAGGTGCAAAAGCCATGGTACAGCGGGTACAGTGCTAGCCTCATCTGCAACTGACCTAGATTCAATCTTCAGCAGTCTGTCCACATAATCCCCTGAATCCGAGAGAACTCAGCAGTGAAGCCCGAGTGCAGAGCCAGGAGTAAACCCTGAGAACTACGGGGTATGGCCCCCAAACAAAGTAACTAGCTTTGGGGCTGGAGAGTACAGGATGACCGTGCTTGCTTTGCATGTGGCCCACGTAGTGTGATTCCCAGAACCATGTGATAGCCTGAGCGTCACTGAGTCCAGGAGAGGCCCCTGAGCGCCTCTGAGGCTGGCCCTGGAGAGCTGCCTGACTGCTGAGGTGGCTCTGATAATCCCCTGTGCCCCAAGACCTTTGCTTGAATTGTCTGCCTGCTGTCTGAGAGGCACTGGCAGCGACCCTAGGGTATTCCTAAGCACCATTTGGGAGGTCTCTCCAGAAAAATATGAGAAACGATGTACTTAGTTTTATTAACTACTCAAATAATTCAAAATTTGTACCCAAAGCTAAGTTCCATATTTTCTGAACTAGTATTTTTAGTGGTAAAACACTGATAAAGTTTAAAAAAAAAAGGTTTTCATGTAAATTAAATGAGTAAATTTCTACTACTTACAATCTTTCTTTTACCTACTGATAATAACTATCAAAGATTCATTCTAAATTCACTTGTCCTGGGGCTGGAGAGATAGCACAGCGGGTAAGGCGTTTGCCTTGCACGCGGCAGACCCAGGTTTGATTCCCAGCATCCCATATGGTCCCCTGAGCACCGCCAGGAGTAACTCCTGAGTGCAAAGCCAGGAGTAACCCCTGTGCATCGCCAGGTGTGACCCAAAAAGCAAAAAAAAGAAAAAAAATTCACTTGTCCTTTATTGTCTCTTTGGAAAGCTAATAATTCCCAAACATACAACAAATAGATTTCAAAATACCTAGTTAACTGTTAAGAATTAACCTAACCTATCTTTTCATATCTATCTGCATCAACTCTAATTTTACCACCATTTCTCAATTTAGATGCCGTAATTCACATTTCTCCCTCTATTCAAATGCTCATGCCAGAGAGAGATCACTAGCTTAGAACACACGCTCTGCATACGGAAGGTCTGGCCCAAAGTGACCCTTAAGCAGTAAGCTGGAAGTAGACCCTGTGCACAACCCAGTGTGGTCCCCAAATCTCAAGAAAAAAAAAATAATAAAGGCCCTAAGGCCAAACTCAAATAGCATTATATACAGAAATTACTCTTTAAATGGGGATTATATTCCTATCAAAAAGGTTAAATGTTTTATTTGTGTTGGTATGAAAAAAAGAATCATTTATAACCAGTCATGCTGCAAGTGATAATATATATGTGAGTGATATACACAATAATAATAGATGATAATATTTCACTTAGACCCAAATGGACTACAGGAAAGATCAGATACAGCATTTTAACTTTAATTTTACTTCCTTTGCAGAACATTTTTATTTGTCTTAATGTTCATGGTGATGTCTTACACAGTAAGGTGGTCCTCTCGTATCTAGTGAAAGTTTTTGAAGTAAACAAAATGAATGATAAACCTCACATATCAAAACTACTTATTAGAACTATTTTAAAAATATTTCTAAGAATAAGTTCTAAGTTAAAAAATAATTTAGTTTAAATATAAAATATTTAAAAATAACTGAAAAAATGTTACAGCGTTCGTAATCTAAAAGCTTGTGACTCACCAATCTAAAGAATTTAATTTAGAAAATAAGGTTCTATTATAAAGGTTAGAATATATATGTTAGTCTTTTTGGACACTCAGCAGTGCTCAGGAGCTATTCCCTGGCTTGATGCTGGGGTTTCTCCTGGTGACGCTCAGAGGACATTTGGTAAGAGTCAGAGCATGTTGCTCCGCCCCTGAACTCTCTTCGGTCCCACAAAATAAAGTTGCCTATTTATTTTAAAGAAGTCAATGTATTTGAGAGGCGAGGAAAAAGAGATCTGGTGGGACTCAGAGGATATTCCTGGCTCTGTGTTCAGGAGGGAGCTGGAAGCACTTGGGTGACCATACGCTGTACTGGGGGCTGCGGGGTGAGCAGGGCAGGCAAGTGAGCCACCCCCATGCCAGGAGCTCAACCCTAAACTAACCATCCAGCTGAAAGTCAACGTATTTTTAACTCTTTTTACACAGGGCTCATCTTCCCAACAGTCCAACAGTTTTCACTGTTAAAAAGAATCTTTTAACTTTAAGTAAACGACACAAAAGAATAGAGTATGATTCTATTTATATAAAGCTCACATATAGCTACCTATATTTTCCCAAGATATATTAGTGAGTAATAGAACTTTTTAAAAGAGAGAAAGAGAAATAAAAAAAACTATTCTGGAAAAGTCACAACAATGGTTATGTTGGGGTACAGACTAATGGGTCTTGGCATTTGATTCAGAATTTGCAATCTAGAGAAGACACTGGGACCTTCTGAGCAGAAATGGGGAAAGATAACACATGATCTGAGAAAAGGCATTTTTATTTTGTCAGTATTCAATTCACTTGTGATTTAAAACAATTTTTTTCCTTGCATTTTAGATTTTAAAAACCTCCATAGTTAAGTAAAACAAAATATAGGACAAATACTGTGTTGACGAAATTAAGAGACCTCCAACTAGAAATGGAACATCAACAAGAAATTTTGTCTCTAGATCAAAAATAAGGAATATAGTGATAACAGAAATATACGTCCATCACAATTCAGTTTAGCAGGCATTTCATGTTCAAGGAATAAACTGGTTTAATAATTTATAATGTTTTTATCTATTCACTTATAATAATTCAGTCATGCACTGAAGTCTTTAACACTAACATGAGCAATAAAAAATTATAATACATACGTATGGAATATCAGAACATGCTACTATTTTTCAGACTCTATATCCCCCGTATTATCAGAAATAATGTTGAGCATATAAACAATGAAAGGATTGGTCTCAATACTAATTTTAGAAGCTTGAAATAGGAAGAATTTGTATGCTTAAATGTATTAAAATGTTATGCTATATACCTTAGTGAAATAGAAAAATATAATCAGGACAGACCAATTCTACTAGTGATAAAGACAATTCTCTACCAAAATTAAATTTACTATTTACTTTTTAGAGCCTAATAAAATGTTATCTCATTGAATAACATGCATTTTTTTTGAAAATTGAAAGAACACTTTAATAAAATTAACCTATCAGGTATTATGTTATAAACTGCTCTACTCGCCTCAAATTTAAAAATGAATAACCAATTTTCATACCTATTTGCATATCTTAATGTATTAAGGGTATTTTCACAGGATGCCATTCCTGGAGAGATTGTGGCAATCTATTGGGGGGAAACGCAAAGGCAAAGAAAATGTGATGAATAATGAAGATAGTTACACTGACATATAGCTCATTAAGGACTCATCTTAATATGGTTATTATCTGAATTAAAAAAAAAATCAACAATACTTGGACTCTGAGATTAGATGTCCATAATCTGATATAAACTCCAGTTAAAATAAAACTCTCTGAAAGCACCATAAAATGGTCCAAATTAGGCAGAAAACGCAGAAGGAAATATCTATGCGAACTTCCCCCTTTCTTTCTATTAAGGTATTTTGTTTGCTTATTTTTAAATAAGGGCAAACAAATCCCTTACTGTTGTTATCTAGAAACATTAAAGGACAGAGCCTGGAGTTGGGAACCATAATAGCTGGAAAGTGAAATCTGACCCAGGAGAGAGAATCAAAGAGTGAGAAACCCAAATTATATAGCAAAACTGTCCCTATCTCCAGCTGATCCTTGAGCCAGTAAAAAATACTGTTTACTCCAAGCAACAAAGTTAGCTAAAACTGAACTCAACTAAGATTTCAATTTTATTCACTATGGAGAGAAGGGAGAAAAAATTCAGCTATATTAAATTCTACTAAAAGAAGAAATATTCATTAATTTTAGGAAAATAAAACTAGCATCTAATAAGATAATAATATAATCCAAAATTGTTAGACATATGAGGGAAAGGTATGACTATAATTGAGGAAGAAAAAAAAAAAGGAAGCCAAATAGAAAATCTATATGCTAAAATTACTAAATGGAACATATTATAATTGCAATGTAATTCTAACACTGTCAGGGATCACATATTAAGTATCACTGTTATCTCTCATGATAGAATTTAAATAACTCATTAATATATGATTTTTTAATATGTTATAGCTATTCATTGAATAACAAAACAAAACAAATAAAAACAAACTTACCATGCAGGTTCGAGAGTTTTCACCTATGAAAGAATCTCTTAACACCTGAGTAAGTTTACTTGCTCGGAATGGAGTATGAGGTTTATTTCTGCCTAAGGCTCTGATGCACTCCTGAAAATTAAGAAAGCAAACATCGCTGATGATACTTTTTACAAAAGAATAATGAACATATTTGTAGAGATTTTACTGTAACTCCCAAAACTGAATTCTGATCAGTTTTGAAAAATTTACTAACAATTTTATACTGAAGTTAAGTTCTAACTCAAGAACATGAAAACACAAAAACAAAAAAACTCTAACACCTACTTTTATTTTCCAAAATGTTTTTGGAGCAGTGATCAGAACTAAAATAGTTAAAAAGTTTAACTTCTAAAGCAACATTCCAGAAGAAAAAGCCTTGCTTTTGAGTAGTTTTGCCAACCTGTGACTTTTTTTTTTTCCTTTTTGGGTCACACCCGGCGATGCTCAGGGGTTACTCCTGGCTCTGCACTCAGGAATTACCCCTGGCGGTGCTCAGGGGACCATATGGGATACTGGGAATCGAACCTGGGTTGGCCGCGTGCAAGGCAAACGCCCTACCCGCCGTGCTATCGCTCCAGCCCCACCCTGTGGCTTTCTAATCAAGGAAGAAGGTATTACATAAAATGACTTTTTTGAAGTCATTCCACATTTTTCTGAAAAATGACTTCTTGGCTCAATTTTTGTAGTTCCTTGTCCTAAATGTGAATAATCATGTCCCTTGAGAATCTCCTGTAAGTAGTTTTAGAACTACTCTGCCAATTAACAATTCTTTTATACACACTGAAAAGAATAGACAATATAAAGATGATTTCTGGATATAATACAAATCTCTAAGAGCAAGTAGAAACTAAACTACACAAAACAAGTGCCTAGCAGTTTGAGTAAACAAAGTCACACACACACACACAAAAAGATATTTTTATGATCAATTTTGTCTTATTTACCTTGAGTGCTAAAAGGCTTTTATTAATTTCAGCACCTTCAAGCCTCGTCTGCCTGTCCGCACTGGAAGTATCAGCTCCTCTTTCATTTCCAGCCAAGTCAATGAGAGAGAATTTGCCATGTAGTTTTCCTTTCCTTCTAAGAATAATCTGAAACACTGCATGGCTCCGAGATGAATGTGCATTTGCAGATGTTTGACCAGATGTCCTACAATGTGATTAATGTTATTTTAATACAAAAACATCAATTTATGTATTCGAATCACAGATTTTCAGAAGAAATGCCAGCCAGTTTTCATCATTTAACATATCTATGTTTCATATATGTATACCTACATGTATAAATACATATATATGTGTGTGTGTATGTATACACACAGTTTTTTTACTGGTTTGGTTTTTGGGCCACACCTTACTATGCTATAGCCTTACTCCTAGATCTGTGCTGAAGGGTCTCGTTTGCCAATACTGACAGGACCACATGTAGTGCCAAGGATCAAACTGCAGCTGGCCACATATAAGGCAAATGCTTTAACTCCTGTAATACTGCTCTGGCCCCCACTAAACATATTTCTAACATACTGATAGTGTATTATCAATATATTACATATCCCTCAAAGTTACAAGAAACAAAAGCTTTTATGAACAACGCCTTTCAATCGCAAGATGTACTAAAATAACATACTTGCTTTGTTATGCTATACCCAATATGTCCAAAATATATTACGGAATGAAGTTTCTCTTTCTTTTTTTTGGTGGGTTCACAACCTAACAGTACTCAGTGGTTCCTCCTGGCTCTGTGCACAGTGCCAAGGACTGAAACTGGGTGTTCTGCGTGCAAGGCATGCACTCAGGACACTCAACTGTTTCTATGGCCGAGTTCCCATTCTTTTCTTTCTTTAAAAAAAAGTTATGGATTTGGGGGGAAAGAGGTGAGGGGAGAGAAGTGTGGGAAAGTTGGGCAACTCCCAACAGTGCTCAGGGGACCACACGCAGTGCCAGGGACCTAAAGGGAGTCAACATCAGGTAAGGCAAGTGTCGAAACCCCTCTACTTTCTCTGGCCCGTTTCCCTCCCTGGAAGAAACGTACCTGCAACTGTTGCCTATATCAATGAGTTTCAGAACATCTTCGACACATTTAACTTCCCGCTCCTGCAGTCCCACCACTTGAACCTGCTGTTTTCCATCTTCAAGTACTCTTAATTTTGTTTTCCTGTTTAGCAAGTCAAACACCTATAAAATGAAAACTCAAATTAGGAAACTAACTTGAAGAAATAAAGTTCTATAAAAATGAATAACCCAGAGAGTAGATTGTTCCAGTGAAATGTTACTATAAATAAAATCATGTTAAAAACTGAAATTGAAAAGATTCCATAGGCATTAAAGACACTATAAATTAATAAAGAAATAAATACATGTAAAAATTATGTGATTATGATCACTGCACAATAATGTAAATATATTTAAGCAGATCTTGTATACTTCATAAAAAAATTAAACGGCAAATTTTGCTATATGCTTTATAACCACTTCTTTAAAAATTTAACAATTTTCATTTACCTTTCCACTATAAATTTCAAAAAATGTTGCATATACTTGAAGTTCTAACTTCTTATAGTTTGGCTTCTTCAGCATTAAAAAGACATCTCGAGCTGTAAAGAATTTTACACAGAGGAAATACATTAAGGAGTGACAATAATGTTTTTAAGAAGAAATTCAGGGGCCAGAGAGATAACCTAGTGGGCAGGACACTTGCTTTACACATGTCCAATCTGGATTCAATTCCTGGTACCCCAGATGGTCTCCCAAACCCCACCAGGAGTGATACCTGAGCACTGCTGGGTTTGGCCTAACATGCCCCCAAGCCTCAAGCAAACCAAATTCCCAATTGCTCTTCGGCATAAACTCCACTGAGATACATGCCTAGCTTTAAATCCTCAACTGTTAGATTAATGCTGTTCTTTATCTAGATTGTTATTTTCAATAACAAAAACGAAGACTAAACATTAGTTTTACTTCTAAGTATTAGTATTTTAATAGTACTTTTGAAGTATTAATAGTATTTTAAATAACAAATAGTATTATTTATTACACATGCAATAGTACTTTTTTACATTTAAGGTTTAAATGTCACTCTTCTTCATATTCACTAAGAGAAGGCCACTTTAATTTTTTTTGCAGTGTCCCAAGTTTGAACCCAGGGCTTCACGCACACACAAGATATGCATATCACTGCTAAGCCACACCCCCAGTCAGAACACTCTCACAAGAGCGAAACAGAAGCTTTCCACCTATCAGTTGTTCAACAACTTTTAAGCTCTGACAACAGCTTAAAATGACATAAACATAAATTCTGTCCCTAAAAATTACATCAGCCTGATAACCAAAAACTGACAACGTAAAGTATGCATAGCATTGTAAATACCCTTTAATACTACAACATTTCCAAATTTCTTTCTTTTTTTTTTTTTTTTTGCTTTTTGGTTCATACCCGGCGATGCACAGGAGTTACTCCTGGTTCATGCACTCAGGAATCACTCCTGGCGGTGCTTGGGGGACCACATGGGATGCTGGGAATTGAACCTCGGTTGGCTGCGTGCAAAGCCAATGCCCCACCTGCTGTGCTACTGCTCCAGCCCCTCCAATTCTTACTTCGAAAACACCTCAATACTTGAGAATTCATACACGATGTGCAAAAAGAAGTTACCTGCTAATGCATAGATTCCTTTAGAGCAATCTTGGTTCTTTCCTGAAAAGTCGCCTCCCATAGTCTATATGTTAAAAAGAAAACAAAGAGCAGACATTTCCCAGTAATGATTTATTTTAAAATTCTGATATCAAAATAAAGCTAATTGAGAAAAACAAACTGTGGTGTCACACTAGGACATAATACTTACATGAGTCTTTCCGCTTCCAGTCTGCCCATAAGCAAAGCACGTAGCCATTCCCCTTTCAAAAATAGTTTCCACTAGCGGTCTAGCTGTAAATCTTAAAACGAAATGCGTTTGTTATGAGCAATCATCACTTAAATCAAACAATGAAAGTAGTAACAAATCCCATGTCATCACCATTTTCAAATTTTATTAATGTAATATACCAAGAATCAATGAACTCAACTCTGACAGTAACAGCCACATAAAACAAACATAAATCCTCCCTTCAAAGAATCAGGAGTTTCAGCAAATTAAAAAAAAATTCTGTAATGGGAGGAGAGACAGCTAAAAGGACATGCTTTGTACAGGAAGCTCTGTCCTGATATCCTGGGTCCTCTATATGGTCCATCTGAGCACCTCTGAGCACCTAGCTGGAAACGGCCTCTGAGCACCACTGCATGTGGCTAAGAAGGCCACAACAAAGAGAATTTCAAGAGCGGAAAGCTACAGGGGTCGGGGGTGACATGCCACAGGAAAGAAATTAAGATCTAACATTAAAAAAAAAGGACTGGTTCCTTGAAAGAGGATGCATGAGTAGATCAAGGTCATACTTTTAAAATACTACTGTGCTGCCAGTTTTCTTTTCTCTTTGGCCACACCCAGCTATGTTCAGGACTCATCCTGACAGTGCTCAAGGTACCCATAAAGTTCCAAGGTGCTACGGATCAATCACAGGTCAGTTATGTGTAAAGGAACTTGCTGCACTACCTCTACAGCCAATTTAAAAAAAAAAGGGCAGTAATGCTTGAGAGGACGTGGTACCAGGGATAAACCTGGGCCTTCTAGGGTCCAGAGCAAGTACAGTGGGCAGGTTATTTACCTTGCATACGGCCAACCTGGGCTTGATCCCTGAGCACTACCAGGAGTGAACCCTGAGCACCACCAGATGTGACCCAAACACTCCCTGCATCATCCCCTGCCAAAACCCCTGGGCTTTCCGCATGCAAAGAACACATTCAGTTGACTGAGCTATCTTACCAGTTAGTAGTTTTGTGTTGATGATAGTTTATATTGATGGGCTGGAGTGATAGCACAGTGGGTAGGGCGTTGGCCTTGCACGCGGCCCACCCGGGTTCGATTCCTCTGCCCCTTTCGGAAAGCCCGGCAAGCTACCGAGAGGATCTCGCCCACATGGCAAAGCCTGGCAAGCTACCTGGGACGTATCTGATACGCCAAAAACAGTAACAACAAGTCTCACAATTTGTTGTGAGATGTTACTGGTGCCCACTCGCACATATTGATGAACGGGAGGACAGTGCCACAGCGCTATAGTTTATATTGATGGCTTTTAATGCCAGAATCTGGCATGAGTTTTTAAACATGCTAGCATAATTCACTATTGAAATTAAAATTAAAAACATAGTGGGGGACAAGAACTTCATTTAAGTAAGCTCTTAAGAAACACTCTGGGGGTCCAGGGACCACTCTCATCAAAATCCTGGCAACGCCAGCTGGCAGTTCAATATGCAGGACAGAGAATGCTGTGCTGTTCCATTCCCACAGTGCTCGGCATTACCTGGACTACCCCAGCAGTGCTCAGGACCTCCAGGGCTACACATTATGATGCTACGGGAGACCAGGCTGTGCTGAGGACTAAACTGGGGTCAGCTGTACGCAAGGCCTGGGCCTTAACCTCTGTGCCATCTCTCTGACACCCAGAACAAGGCTTTTTAATGTAAGATTCAAAACAATCTACATGGAACACAAAGGTCTCCTCATTTTTTAAGACAAAACAGGAGAATATACAATGAAAGTAGCAAAAAAGTTCTGATTTAAGTAGCAAAATTAAAAATAAAAATTATCAAAATTTCTCTGATCAAAGAGAAATGATTAATTAGAAAACTATTAAATCTACAGATTAAGGAGGACAAGTGAGATTTTTAATAATCTTCAATCTTCAGGATCCTTAAATATTCTGTTTTCCAGTCACGATTGTAGAAGAATTAAAAAAAAAGAGCACTCAAGTAACTGCCAAGGTAGTTCTAACAAACAAAACAGTTTGTAATCTGCTAAAACTGATCTGGAACAAAGTTTCTAAGTGAATGTTTTACAAATTATCTATGAACATGTGTATCTGGAATAAAAACATGAGATTTCAATGTTTGATAAATGCAATCTGAATTGTTTTCAAGTTCACTCTGTAACCTACTTAAGAATTCCATGTAATAATCTATCTCAAAACTTGAGATGATGAAAATGCAAGATTTACAGAATATTTTCCCTAAATGCATAAATGCCAAATAAAGGCTTACAAAGTTTGTAAATGTTAATTTATTTTTCTGTTTGGGGGTTACACCCGGCAATGCTCAGGGCTTACTCCTGGCTTTGTGCTCAGGGAGATCACTCCTGACTGGCCCGAGGGACCATATGGGATACCAGGAATCAAACCTGGGTCAACCACGTGCAAGGTCTTACCCACTATCGTATCTCTCTGGCCCCTAAATAAAGGTTTAGACAAATTAATAATAAGTATAATTAACATTTTCATATTTTTTCACTAGTACAGAGATAAAAAGATAACCCCCCCCCCCTTGTGACAGACATAGAAAGATTACACTCATCTGGGGAACATAAAGTAACAAAATAGGAGACTAACACCCAAGAATAGCAGAGTACCAGGTTTTAAGTACCAGGAGGTTTACTCCATGGCTTGGAGGTCGGCCGCACACGCTGGGGAAAAAGGCAGCTCAGATAGAGAAGGGAGGACCTAATGCAGGGTGTTGGGAGGATCCTCCCAAGATGGGAGATGCGTACTGAGAGTAGATTCTAGACCGAACATGTTTGCCACTCAAAGCCTCTATTGCAGACCACAACACTCAAAAGGAGAGAGAGAACACAAGGGATTGCCCTGCCACAGAGGCAGGATGAGATGGGAGGGATGGGGGTGGGAGGGATATTATCCATGGTGGTGGAAAATGGGCACTGGTGGAGAGATGGGTATTTGATCAATGTATAACTGAAACCCAAGCACAAAAATTTGTAAATCTACAACTGTACCTCATGGTGTTTCACAAATAAAAATCTTAAAAAAAAAAATTCCCCTTGTTATGAAAGTGTTAACCTTTTTTGAAACTTTCCATCCAATGCATGTAGTATATGAGATAAATAAAAAAATAAGTAATAAAAAATTTAATTTGGAGAACATTATAGAAAACAACTGTTAATTTTCATTAAAGTGGTTTGCAATTACATTTATTCTTTGTTTAAACTAAGAAAAGCACATTACACCTCTGGACATTAAATCATTTTAAGCTTTAGTGGGCTGAACACATAGTGTCAGAATTGAAAATTCTGATTAAAAGTGAATTTACCTACCTGTAAACCATTTCATTAGGAGCTGAATCATCAAAGGCATAATCAAAGCGAAATGTTTGGTTTTCCAGGTACCGTGTTAAATCGACTTTTTGTTTTGGTTCATGTACCATCACAACATCTTTACTAGGGATTGTAATTACATCAAGATCTTTCATTTGAGTTTCTAAAAGGATAAGTGAAAATCAATGACCCCAAATTTTCACAGCATTTGAATTAATGCACAAATATTATTTTAAGTAGTATGAATTAAAAGTTCTGTAAAAATAAATATCCGATGCCATACAGTAAGACATGATTCTTTAACAACAATGTAGGAAAAAAATCATAAACCAACAAATCTAACTAAAGAAATCTATAAAAGGTGTATGTGCAGAGGTATGTATTGAGATAACTTATATAGGTATGTAAAAAATAAAATTTATATTTTGCTCTTCTAAATCAATCTGACTTCTTATAACCAAAATCAATTACAAGTAGAGGGGCTAGAGCAATAGCACAGCGGGTAGGGCGTTTGCCTTGCATGTGGCCAACCAGGGTTCGATTCCCAGCACCCCATATGGTCCCCTGAGCACCCCCAAAAAAAGCAAACTTACAAAAACATTACAAGTAGGGCAGAACCAATCATACCTTTTTTATTGAGTGGCCGTTTTCTTACACAAACACATATCCTATGTTCATCAATCTAGAAATAAAATTTACTTCACTGGTTATCAATGTTATGCAATACTTGACTATATTATGCAATACTTGACTATACTATATCGAATACTCTCGATATGCCAAACACAGTAACAACAAAGTCTCCAATGGAGACGTTACTGGGCCCGCTCGAGCAAATCGACGATCAACGGGAGGGCCTTTACCTTTACCTTTACTTGAGTATACTATGCAATACTCCCTACAAAATTTTTAGAAATCTTAAAATTTTATGCATGGCATAAATGTTAGTTTAAATAACAATTATTTTGCACAAATTCTAATAGCTGTGAGTATAATGATTTCTAAAAAAGTCTGACTATAATGAAAACAGTGATTTCCGACATTGGCAAGTCATTAGGAAATAAACTTTTGGGGGACACTACTCTTCTTAGTAGCATTAGATTCATATAAGACTGAGATGAACTGTTACAAATTAAAGTCAAACTTCCTATTAAATATTTTATTTTCAGATTGATTATATGCAAAGTTTCAGACAAAGAATTTTAGGCAAAACATGTTTCATACCAGGACTTGCATATAAACTTACACAGCATTTGCATGTAAACTAATCACACATTCTCTAATATACTTTAACACATCTCTAGACTTATAACACAAGGTAAATACTATGGAAATACTTGTTATACTGTAATTTTTTAGAGAATAAAGATAAGAAAAAGTCTACAGAATTGACCTTTCAACAATATGGGTCTGAACTAGAGCTTTGGTTTACTGCTGTCCTAATAACTATCACTTCTAACTATCACTTATTATTAAAAGCCATAATGACATGACATTTATTTTAAAAAATAACAAACATTGCACACTGCAATGATGCTGGGATAAGTTGCCCAAGCAAAACAAGAAATAATCTTGTAACTAAGATCAAATTATAAACTGATGGTCAGGAAACGGGGTCTTCTGACATCACTCCTTCAAAATTGCTGCTCTGCTCTATCAAAGACTGAGAGGATTAAGGTCAGAGCAGTAGTGCAACGGGAAAGGCACTTGCCTTGTACATGGTCTGCCCAAATTCAATACGCCGCCCCGCCCCAGGCCCCCGCAAAACCAGCAGTAATTCCTGAGTGCAGAGTCAGGAGTAACCCCTGAGCACTACCAAGTGTGGCCAAAAAACCCCACAAAAAAATAAAGTGTAAAATCTACATAGTTAAAGATATTAATGTCATCAAACGTTTTATTCAGAGGATAAGAAGTTCCTAAGTATTGGTTTATAAAAATCTTACCGGATCTGCTGTTGTTAATGGTCTATAATCCAAACTTCCTCTAAAATCTCTGATCATACACATAATTTCATAATTGGGGTTTGTTGCATCAACATCCTATGAGACAAAGAGAATTCATCATTTATCATACTGATAATCATGTCGTTTTGTTTGGACAATATCTGTTTTGTCAAATATCTGTTTTGACAACTAAACTAACTGACTACAACAGTTGTTATAGCCAAGCCCAAATTAATACTAGAGATGTGACCTAATTTTGTTTCAGAGTTCAGGATAAATAACATGCCGTTAGTAATTTTTTATTAAAAATACAAATTATGCTAGCCTACAAGCATTCTGGTAGTTCCAAACCAACTCTCATTAAAATTAACCTTGACAACTTTCAAAACTCATCTTTCATACATATATTTTAATTACCCCAGAAAAGGAAACAGAGGAATAAAATATCACTTATCTTAAACAATGACAAATAACTATGGAAAAGATAAACTTTAGAAAAAGTTATTAAATCAGATTCTTCTTCCTAACTTATTTTCTTTCCAATTTTTAATACTCAGTATTAAAAATTAAAAATACTCAGTTTTTTTCCCAAAGAAATTTACCTTGGATATACAATTAAATTTTGAAAGACTTACTAACATTTGCTTAAATGTTAGTAATAATAGCTCTAAAAAATAATATAACTATTTGCTTCAATTCAGAAGCAAAATATAAAGGAAAAAATTAAAAGATCACAAAGAAATGTGAAACTATTTTGGAGTACCCAAAGAAAACAGCAGAGGGCGTCTGTGCTAAATAGCTGTGATGTTTTGTGTATTATTTCAAAACCATAAACTGATTTATTCAGACTGAATACTAAACTAGGTCTATGATTCTACTTAAAACTTTAATGACTAATATTTAAATATACGCTTAAATAAACAGTACTACAAAGAAAATAAGTTCTACGAATACAATACAATAAGATATAGAAATTAAATGTGTGACAAGAATTTATAATATGTAAAGCTATGAAGAGAGATGAAAGATCTAGCTCCTCCTACTACTAACCAGGTTTGCAACCAATTAAACGAACACAGAGGGTAGAGGTCTGCTTACAATAGCTAGTATAAATCAAAACACATGTTTCCTCTTTCTTTACAATATTCTAAATTTACTGATCATGGAAAACAATAATAAAATTTATGGTGTAACCGTATACTTAATTCTTCCAAATACATTTTTGGATCTATATACAAAGCTAAAACCTTATTTTTCTCAAATGGTGTAATGTGAAACAAAATTAAAAATTGTTATACACCAGTGCATTATTTAAAACGGAACCAACTTTAGAGCTTTAGAACCCACTAAAATACGACAAGTTTGTGTAGTAAAAACGTGCCAGGAAAACATCTGTTTGTTTGGGGTCCACACCCAACTGTGTTCACAGTCTACGCCTGGCTCTGTATTCAGAGACCACTCCTGGCATGGCTCAGGGGACCATACGGGATGCCAGGGATCAAACCCACATTGGTTGCATGCAAAGCAAGTGCCCACCCACTCTAGTATCTCTACCCAAGAAAACTTCTTTTTTCCTTTCTTTTTGTTCCTGGGCCACACCCGGAGATGCACCTGTGGCTCTGCACACAGGGATCACTCCAGGCTGGGCGTGGGGAACTACATGGAATGCTGGAGACTGAATCCGGGTTGATTATGTGCATCACAAACACAATACCCGGTGGAGTCTAGCCCCCGAAAATGTATGTTCATAATTTACTTTTTAAACAGAGCTATATCTTGTGATGCTTGGCTTGACGGTGCTCTCTTTAGGTCCGGAAGTTCTTTGGAGGCATCAAAACTACACTGGCATTACTTCTGGGCCATGCAGTAACCAGGACTGAAATTTAATTTTGAGAAGTCTGGGCCACATCTAGATGTGCTCAGGAAACACTGGTGTTGCCAAGCACCAAATCCAGAACTGGCTATGTGTAAGGCAAGAATGTGATCCCTGTCCTAAAATAAGTTTTTAGTTAGTGCATAAATAAAATACATTCCTGTGACAAACCTGGGCTCTTTTTTCTCGGAGTTCTTGCTGTTGTAGTCTCCTTTTTTCTCGTTTTTCTTGTAATTTTTCTACTTCTTTTACACAATTAGATTTTCTACGTGCTAAAAAAAGAGACAAAGATGAGCTGTAGAAGTTATCATTTGTACAGTACTTAACTTAAACACAAAAATTTAATGTGTAATTTCACCATACACTCCAAATGAAAAAATACACAATGATAAAGCATGCCTATAACCACTATGAGCTGCTTTGACAAAACTAGGAATGGGACGATATACAAATAAGAGTCGGGAAAAAAAAATGACTCTGACATACAGATACATGTCATCTCTTGGTCTATAATCACAAATTTTTGAACAGGGGGGTGTGGAGGGACACCAAATATAAAAACTGCCTTAAAGTATCTGTCAAATTATTATTTGGCCCAAATTTTTAATTCAAAGCAACAGAAACCCTAATATAATTTAGTATTTGTTTTCCTTTCAAATAAAAATTGAAAACAACTAATTAAAAAAAATCTTTTCGAACAGTGATAAAATAAAATTAGCATTTATATTGTTCATTTGTGAATTTATACCGATGACCAAGAGAGAATACATGTATGTCTAAAATGATTGAATCCTTGATACATAATTTACATACAAGGGGGTCCAAATTCCTTTTTTGCAGCTTGAACTGGAGATATATCTGAAACACTACCATTCTGTTGTGCAGAGGAAGACTGTTCAGGAAGCTGACTAGGCCGTGCACGTGCAGAACCAATGACTGCAAAGGAATAAAAAATTTTAAACTTAAAAGACCAAAAATATAGTAAAGGTAAACCTTGGAAAAAAGAAAGACATAACAAAGAACTAAAATGTACATGATGTGTCAGGCGGTGGGATGTGACTCGGTGATAAAGCACATGCCTTGCACTGTGTGAGGCCAAGGGCTCAATCCTAGCACTGCAAAAGGTAAAATGCCAAGTCTCTATATTTAATTGTGTGTTAAGTGGAATATATTAATTAATTCTGCTCAATTAACTGACAAGTTAAAAGAGGTGATCAAAATCATGTGCAGATTTGGGTCTCATGAATGTAACCCTTGCTATAAAATACAACCTAAATAATTGATATAATAACCAAAGACAAACTTTACTTATAACAATCATTGAAAGTTAATGTACAAGGGTGTCGAAGTGACAGCACGGCAGGTAAGGCACTTGCACACAGCCAATTCCAGTCCCACAGCCTTGCATATGGTCCCCCTGAGCCCACCAGGAGTTATCTGTGAGCACTGAGCCAAGGGAAAGCTCTGAACGAACCAGGTGTGGTGCAAAATACAAAAATAAAACAAAACAACAAGCAAACAAAGTAACTAAGTGTGCAAGGGGTCAGTCAGCCCGATGTACTTAGAGAGGGGCCCCTTTCAGATCCTTTGCAGTGACATCCAAGTGCACCCAAGGATGGGCTACCTATGTTTACAGGGTGCAGTTTGCCTGTCATCCTGAGTAGGACAGAGAGAGCACCACAAGAGTCGCCCCAGGATTAGCGGAATTCAATAAACCTCAACCCTGATCACTGCTCCACAAGAAAGGCACAAAATATGAATTTAGAGGCCAGAGAGAGAGTGTAAGTGGGAAGGGCAATTGCCTTGCACGTGGCTGACCAAAGTTCAATTCCTGACTCCCCCATGTGGTCCCCAAGCCATATGAAGTGATCCTGGAGCACTGCCAGGTGGGGCCATAAAATGGAGATTTTAACTGCATCCTGGTGTTGAAAAAATTTACAAAATTCAGGCACCAGAGAGTTATTACAGAGATTAAGGTGATGCTTTCGTTCCATGTGACTGACCCTGACTTAATGTCCAGTAGCACATGGACCACAAACACCTCCAGAAGTAGTCCTCGAGACCTCCCCCCACCCCCGCCTCAAATGCACCACACCAGGACTGGCCTGGAAATCTCCAGCAACCCATAGACAGAGTAGCCCTGTATCCTCTAAGCCCTAGCATTGAACTGCTGGCACAGTTGGATGAGGATCCTCGGAAAGGACCCTTGGGCCTTCGGGAGCCCAACATGGTGCACCTCCCCAAAAAGGGGAAAAATTTGTATAATTTAGCATAAAAGAAAAAAATTTATATAATTCAGAAAGTAGTACTGAAAGCAGAAATTTTACTAAAGAAATTCAACTCTTGAGGCCAGAGCGATAGAACAGCAGGTAAATTGCTAGCCTTGCACATGCCCAATCCAGGTGTGATCCCGGGCACCCCATGTGGTCCTCCAAGAACCACAAGAACAACTCCTGAGTGAAGGGCCAGGAGTAACCCCTGACACTGCTGAATGTGGCCCCCAATAAAGTGCTTCAACTCTCCACATTCCAAATCCCTCTTTCTGTTTCTCAACTATGCAGTTTTCTTTCCTTCTTCTTTTTCTTTCTTTTTTAAATCACAGTGAGATACAGTTACAAAGCTGTTCATGATAAAACGCTATAAAGTGGAAAACAAGTTAAATATATACCATATTTTTCAAAGAAATGTAAGTTTTTACAAACTCAAAGGACAGTGCTCAACACAGATTTTCAATCATAATTTCTAGTATCTATATCTTACCCCACTAGGAAATAATATTAGAAAATTAATTAATAAATGAGGAAAAAAGAATCGTGAGCTCAACTGTGAAAAAGAAATAAGCAGGGTCAAAAACAGGACAGGGGACAGGGCACCTGCCATGTACGAGGCAGATCCAGGTTCGAACCCTGGCATCACATATAGTCCCGAGTGTGTCTAGGAAGGATCTCTGAGCAGCACTGGGTATGGCTCAAAACAAAAACCACAACCCAAAAAGTGTGCGCATGCGTGCGCGCGCGCGTGTGGTATGTGTGGGGGAGGGGATAAATTAACTACTCACTACACTTTCTTACGTGAAAATATATTGAAAACCTGTGATTAACGATTCCTGTGGGCCTACTGTTTCAACTTTTCTTGACTTCAGTTTCCCACAATCCCTCACCTATGAAGTCAGCCAAAAAATCATGCAAAATGTTACGATTAAACTTACATTTGTGAGATCAATTACGTGACTTCTTCATTCCCTTTCAATAATTATGCCCTCAAATATGGAAAATTACAGGAAAATCAGATACATAAAAAATTCCATATAGTGTAGTTTTTTATTTTCATCATACTTAAAAAAAATATTACTGATATTTGTTTTGTTTTGTGTTCACACCTGGTGGTGCTAAAAAGACCGTATGTTGTGCAAGGGATCAAAATTACTGACACTATTTTATCAGGAAATAAAGAAGATATTTTAAAAATTACTAATATAAAGTTTAAATAATTGTCAGCAATAATATTTACTTTATTTTACTTAAAATTTCCCTACAAGGCCATATCAGAAACGAATGGGAAAATACGTAACTTTTTACCTTACCTCGATTATCTCTTGGAGGAGGGTCATTTTTAACGGAAGCCACAGTCCGTCGATTCTATAAAATGAACATTTATATTCTCTCTTTACACACATAACCCTCAATTTGGTTGCTTTAAATAAAAGTAGGGAAGACATAATAACAAAACTAAATGGAGAAACCCATTAATTTTCCAAGTTTACGGTTTTCAACACTGCACTTTCTTACACATAAGTCCTTTCTTACACATATGTGCTACCAACTCCAAAGGCATTTATTTTGAACACAGGAACCAAGCACTGCTCAGACTTTGATCAATTTAATCATTACCACAGCCCTATGAGGTTATTATTATTGCCATTCTAGTTTCATAAAGAAACCTAAACAAAGAAGAAATTCCTCTAAAGTTTGTACTTTTAATTATCATCATGTCAAAAAAGAAAAATTTCATCTTTGCATGTCAGGAGATAATTTTTATTCGGAGTTCTTTCTCTGGGGAGGAGGGTGCTCAGGGGCTGTAGGAGTGCCAACGAGGGTCTCAGTTCAGTGTGAAGGCCTGAGGGTCAAATACTGCTGGAGCCGTGCAGTGCTAGGGATCCCCTGGGCACCCCAGTGTTACTGGGGGCCTGCAGGTACAACCAGCAGTACTTGGAGACCCGGTGGCAGCGAGAATTAAATCTGGGTTGGGCACATGCTAGGCAAGTGCCCTAACCCTTGTATTATCTCCCAGCTCCAATAATCAGTTAAGGCCAGAGTTTTAGCAGTGTGTGTACGTTTGGGCAGTTTTTTGGGCCACACCTGGCAGTGATTAGAGGCTATTTATCCCTGGCTCTGTACTCAGGAAAGACACTAGGCAATGCTGAGAATCATTGCATGGCCAGGGCCTGAAATGGGGTCTGTCAGCAGCATGAAGGCAAGCACCCTCTCTCTGTATGATCTCTCCAGTCATCTACTGGAGATTATCAATAAAAAGTTGTTTTAGACAAATTACAGCTCACTGTAAAACTGATCAAGAAAAATGCACAAAATGTGCACTATCATGTTAAAAAGCTTTGTTAGACTTTTGTCATTTGAAAAACAAAATACAGTAGTTTTCAATACAAGCTGTACATTCTAATTAGATTAGTACTGTTAAAGCGGTACCGAGGCTTGAATAACCATAATAGAGCTATCTCTGGAAAACATGCTTTAAGGAGGCCCAAGTTGGATCCTGGGCACCACATGGTCCCAACCCAGAGCCAGAAGGATCCCCCGAGCAGAGTCATGGGTCTTCCCACTTCTACAAAACAGTAACAACAAAAAATGCGATGGATATTCTTATAATATCCTATCTCCTTATACAAAAATCTGAGTATCTCTAACGAGTAAGTGCAGGAATGAGCAGTTAAAAACATAAAATCTCTATGGGGCTGGAGATATTATCCAGGTACAATTCCCAGCACCACATGGTCTCCTGAGCATCACCTGGTGCATCTTTGGAAGCTCCCAACAACCAAAGGTGACCTGAGTACCCCGCACTGTATGGACAGAGCCCTCGGGCTGAATCAACAACCTGCCTGGTCAAGAAACATAAATGGGGCCTCCAGAGCTCCTGAGCACTGCTTGGGAGCCTCCCCCCAACTGAACCCTCCAAAATAAGTTCTCCAGGTAATTTTAAAGCACAGTGTAGTTGCTAGTGATATACTCTAAGAAAATAAACTATAAATACTCTCAATTTGAAATGGTAACTAATGACCACTAAGCAGGGCTCTCTGTCTTTAAATCATATGAACTGAAATCTATTTCTATGCATAGTTTACAAGCAGAAAGTGAGTGACAGTCAAGACTTTTTATACTATATTTGGATACTTATATATATGCTTCTCTAGCAGAAAAGTGAATTACAGGATTAAAGTCAAGTCATTTCTCTCTGTAAATAAAAATGTAGAAAACCAACAAATGCTTCTTGAACACAAAGAACGACAGATTCAACAACACTGAAGGGCCATCTGGTTTTGAAAGAGTTGTGTCATTAATACAGCTTAATGGTGAAAGTTTCAGTACAAAGGAAGAGGGATTTTTCTTTAAAAATACTAAGAATAGTACCAGAGATAGTACATGGCAAGGAATGAAGGAGATCGCCTTACACATGGCCCCAATTCAATTCTCTGCACTGCATATGGTCCCCTGTGTACCACCAGCAGTGATCTGGAGCACAGAGCCAGGAGAAAGCCTGCGTACTCCAGGTAAGGCCCCCAAACCAAAAACAGACTGAATGGGCCACAGAGATAGGATAGCCAGGAAAGTGTCTGCCTTACACGCAGCTTACCTGAGTTCTATCCCAAGTATTATAGATAGTCCCTCAAGCCCTACCAGGAGTGATATCTGATCAGAGAGACAGGAGTGAACCCTGCGCACTGCTGGGTGTGACACAAAACCAAAGGCAACATTAAAAAAACAATAATTTTTAATGTGCTCTACTTTGTAAAAACAAAAACGTAAGGAAGGATACTGCAATGGCTTACTCTTTACTGTTGATAAGGAATTTATGGTAGACACTATAAATTCTTATACATAAAACTACGAGTTCTATAGCTGACTAGACCACAAATTTATTATTAACAAGTCATTCTTTCAATACCAAATTCATAGACTGTTAATGGATGCTGACAAGCTAATAGTTTTGACAGGTTATCTCTTAACAAGTTATCAGTATCAGGAAAAATCTTAACCAGACAAGAAATTTTTAGATTCTCATCTCATTAACTGTGCATTAGACAACCTCAATATTTGGAAAAGTCTATGGGACTAAGCTAGTGCGTGTTTTGTAGACTGAGTGCAATTTCTAGCACCACAAAAAATTTACATTCAGTTTCCTGTCCCTAGCGCAATCTGGGAATAACCCGGTAACTACCAGCTATGGCCCAAAAAGCCAAAAAAGGTAAGTTTGTGTTTATATAAATGCAGAAGAATGAAACAAGAATTAGGTTGTTTGCTATTTGTTTGGGGTCACGCTCAGCAGTGGTGAGGGCTACTCCTGGATCAGTGTTCAGAGCACCAGGTGGTTCCAGGAATCGAACACATATAGGCTGCCTCGTATAAACAAAGCATATGTTCTAGCCCACTGAGTTAATTCTCCAGTGCCAAATTAATGGAGCTTTTTTCTAGAACAAACGAACAAACAAACTAAGAAGGTGGGAATGAATAACTCAGCTGTTGTGTAGGTCATGAGGCAACGACTTTGATTCTTAGTGCTGCCCAACATGCTGAACGCAAACCCAGCCCAGCAACACTGCTGCTCAATTGCACAACAAAGTGTATGACCTCTGACACAGTGCAACTAAGTCCGAAGCCCCAGTGAGCACCACAATCAAATGTGTGAACACTGCAACCGAGTATATAACTTTTGGCAAGCCCACCAACCAAGGGAGCATGACTGCTGGTCATCAAAACGACAAAAGGCAAGGGAAGGAAGATAAAATAAAAAAGTAAACAACTTGGGCTGGGGCAATAGCACAGTGAGTAGGGTGTTTGCCTTGCACGTGGCCGACCCAGGTTCGATACCCAGCATCCCATATGGTCCCCTGAGCACCACCAGGGTAATTCCTGACTGCAGAGCCAGGAATAACCCTTGTGCATCGCCGGGTGTGACCCAAAAAGCAAAATATAAATAAATAAAATAAACAGCTACTTAGAACAATCTTCCAAGTCCTCATATTTTAAACCAGAAGACAAATACACAACTCTTAGTTTTCATCACTAACCTTTACAATTTTGTTTACTTTGGCTGAGGATGCTGGAGGAGGAGGTGTTTCTGGACTGGGTTCAATTTCTTCATCTGGTACAAGGTCAGGGTTAAGTGAAAAGATACTCTCCAAGTCAATCTGTTTTTTAAAATTGCATATATTTTTAGAGTGTATGTCAACAGGAATTATTTTCCAAATAAAAGTATAGAGAATAAATGTCAAAGAATTTCAGCTCAATGTGTTGTCTTAAAAATAGAAATATTTAGAATTAGAACATACATTTGAAGAATCTTAAGCATTTTGTGATCTTGATTATATAGGTGATAATATAAATATGCAAGAGAAATCTGCCTTTAAATGAAATTTTTTATTCACAAAATGATAAATATGTGTCATATTAAAAAGTATATACTCTTCTGCTGTTTTATAATCAGAATTTTCCCCAGCCCCTCCCCATTCCCAATGCAAAATGTAAATCAGAGGACTAGACACAAAACCTAGTGTTCATACCTCTTTGCCTTTCGTATCTCCATTTTCTATCCACTCAACAGTTACACTTTCATTATCTTCATTTAAAGATGTTACCATTGCTTGATGTATTCGGCCTAGGGGGGAACAAAACACATATTTTTTAAGTGACATGAATTAAGGTACTCCTTAACACGTCAAAAAAAAAAACCAACATGTGGTCTGGAGAAATAATACAGAGGGTAAGGTGCTTGACTTGCACATGGTCAACCCAGTTTGATCCCTGGTACCCGAGTCCTGCCAGGAGTCATCCCTGAGCACAGAAACAGGAGTTAAGACCTGAGCACCACTGGATGTGGCACAAAACACGAAACCACAATAAAAAAATCCAACTTTATACTTTGCAAACCTTACTAAAACTAGGCTAGTGCATTTCTTAGAAGCTTTTTATTTTCTTTGTGGGTCCCACCTGGCATTGCACAGGGGTTACTCCTGGCGGTGCTCAGGGGACCATATGGGATGCTGGGAATCAAACTACCTGGGTCGGCCACATGCAAGGCAAATGCCCCACCTGCTGTGCTATTGCTCCAGCCCCCTTAGAAGCATTTCTTGGTGCATTTCTATACACTCTCAGGATTAGGGAAAGAATCATAGATCACCTCACTATATTGTTAAGACTTGGAAATTTTAAAAAACTGAATTAGACTAAAAGTTTGTTTTCATCTTGTAAGATAAATGATATGATAGTATAAACTGCCTGAGATTCTATTCTGATAAGTGATTGCAACTGTTAGAAAGTTTCCTTAATGGAACTGGAGAGAGAAAACAATGGGTAGGGCACTTGCCTTGCATGCAATCAACCTGAGCTGGTCCCTGAAACCCTCATGAGGAGTGATCCCTGAGTACAGGGCCACAAGTCAGCCCTGAGTACCAGTAGGTGTGGCCCAAAATAAAAAGCAAATTTCCTATGAATCAACAATGACTATACAACATAAAAGAAAAATTGAGACAAGCACTATTATACTGATTTTTTTAAATGTGAATTTTTTGTTTCAGCTTTTTGTTTTGGGGCCATCCCCAGTGGTGCTCAGGGCTTACTCCAGGCTTTACACTCAAGAAATACTCATAGTCGTGCTCAGGAGACCATCTAGGACACCAGAGATCGAACCTGTGTTGGTCAAGTGCAGGGCAAACAACCTACCCACTTTTACCCATCAGGCCCCTTAAATCCACATTTTAAAACCAAAATAAAAAATGTAGCAGTTTGGGAAATTCAAAACGTTTGGGAAATTCCTATTAAAAATGTCTCTTTCGTACCGTATTCATTCAAAATTTTTGTCCCTTTTTTCTATCTGTAAGAAAAGGACATTTAAGAACAATTTAATTAATCAATTTAAGAATTAGATAGATCTTAATAGGTCACTGTGACTCCTGCCCCCACCTTTTGTTTTCGGGCTCCTCTGGCAGTTCCCCAAATTTGCTCCTGACGGTGCTTGGTGAACCATGCCTCAAGAATTCAAAGCTTATGCCTGAGTTCTTTAGGCATTCTCTCTAGGCCTCCTCTCCCTGTTTTTCTCTCTGTGTGTGTGTGTGTGTGTGTGTGTGTGTGTGTGTACGCGCGCGCGTGTGTATGACACACAACCTCCTGCACACATGTAAAACAGGACCTCTACCAAGGAGTCACATCCCAACCCACTGTTTTTAATTATTCCATAATTCCCCTATGTTTACCTTCAATTATTTAATTCCTTTTGGGGGTCACTTAGGCTACTGTGCAATTTTCTACTACTATGAACACTGGAATAAATAATACTGCACCTTTGCCACTGTACATTTGTCATATTACTTCTTTGGGACAAACTCTAGAAGGAGAAACAGGTTATAAACATAAGTAGGAGAGGGATGGGGACAACTCGCAAACAGTGCTCTGGGAGACCAGAGCCCAGTTACTCAAGCAACTCTGCCACTGGTTCCAGATGAGGGTCTGAGGATGCTGAGAGGTAAGGTCTCCCCAGGTCCCAGTTTTGGGGAACTGGGTTTGGGGGCCATACCCAGCAGTGCCGAGAAGTTATTCCTGGTCCTGCGCTGAAAGGACCCCTACACAGTGTGAAAATTCAACTAGGGCCGACCTCGTAAAAGGCAGGGTCTAACCCCATCTTCTCTTGGACACACAGATCGAAGTGGCACGCAAGAGGCCCTGGGCCACTCCCAGCAATACTCAGCTGAAGTGGTTTTACGCGTGGTCCTGTAACGAGGGAGGCTTTCCGGACCACCCAGGCAGTGGTGGGAGTGGTGGGTGGGGCTTCAGTCCCACACAATGCCTGCCAGGCCAGGTGGTGGATGAAAGCCTGGCACAATACGCGCCATAGCCACTGTACTACCTCCTAAACTCCCAAACTGTTGAACCTATGTTTTCATCTTGCCCATCTAGATTATTACTTAGGGGACTGTTAGAGATCTGCATCTTCAACATTATCTAATAAAATGATGAACATGAATTTTCATGTGCATATTCTAAACAAAATCCTTAGAACACATATAATTACGTTGGGATAATGTATAGCTCTTGAAATATTGTTTTTAAAATTCCCACAGTAAAACAATGTGACTGTAACAAAGCATTTAATTTCCTCACAGAAAACATGGCATTAATAGTTTTGTATGAAGTGACTGTTTTTCACTTGTCTATGGGCTTATATGAAGATTTGAAGGAAGGGAAAGGAGATGACTCAGAGGCTAGAGCACCTGGCTTGCGCGAACAAGGCCACGAGTCTGCTCTTCGGTGCTACTGCGTGTGCCGAGAGCAATCCTGACAGCTCTGCTAGCCCCAGAATGGCAAGGAATTTCTGGTCCCACCAGAGAAGTATGTTAGGCACAACCAGAGGGTGCGTTGCCCGCGAGCACATGTGCCGAAACTGCAATGAGAAGGAGTGTGAATGATCTCCACCCCACCCCGACCATCACAACATCAAAAGGCGGAAGGAAAAAAAAATAAAGACCAAATATTTGAAGGAGGAATAAGCAAAAATCCTGTTTTGAGCTTCTATTATTAAAAGGTGTAAATACTCTTACACAATACACAGGTGATTCCCCAGCCCAGCTCGTCACTGCAGCGTCTGGACCATGGGGTTGTGATGTGAGGGTCACAAATACTCCTGTATTCGAGGATCACTACTGGCAGCGCTTGGGGACAGAATGAGGTGCCAAGGATTGAACCAGGGTCAGTTGTGTGCAAGGCTCGCTCTGTACTATCTCTGTACTATCACCCTGAACTATCTCTTTGACTTCCTATATGACTACTTTCCACAACTACATAGCGTTCTACAAAAAAGAACTATCGTGCATGATGTTAATTTAAGAGGGTATAGATATCCTTTGCGTGTGAGAGGTTCTAAGCGTGACTCTCGGGACCACTATGCATAGCAACAGTAATGTCCAAGCACTAACCCTTCCCAGGCCTGAACCAGTGGGCTGAGAACTGCCGCAGAGGGCCCTTATATATCAGACAGATTGCAATTTAACTAATCCTTTACTAGGATAATTTAAATAGTCTGTTTGACATAAAGATGTTACATGGAGTAGCTGTAGTATCTCTTAAGTATGCTTTTTTAAAAAAGCAAGATACTTATCTGTATTTCTAAATTCCACCTTCCCTTTTTGTTGTGTTGCAATAAGCAAGGGTACTGCATATTTTATAGCATTTACATACACCTGGTTGCCATATGCTGGAGACTGCATTTAGTATGTGACACAGTGACAGGGCTCAAACTCAGGGCCTCATGCCTGAAAGATTCCAGTTTACCACTGGGGTATTCCTTGCTCCCCCCACCCAAAAAAAGAGAAAAAAAGAAGAAGAAATAAGGGGGCTGGAGCAATACTACAGTGGGTAAGGAGTTTGCCTTACATGTGGCTGATCTGGGTTCGATTCCCAGCAACCCATATGGTCCCAAGCACCACCAGGAGTTATTCCTGAGTGTAGAGCCAGGGATAACTTTACCCCTGTGCACTGCCAGGTATGACCCAAAAAGAAAAAAAAAATATATATATACATTTTTTTTTAAGAAGGCTAGGGATGCAGCTCAGCAGCAGAATATCCAAATGAGGTCCTAGGTTCAATCCTTGGCATCATAAATACACAAAACTTTAACTTTTCTTAACATACCCTTAAAGATTGTTTTTAAAGTTTAATAAATGGTTCACTGAGATTCTCAAATACCTCATTGCTAACTGTAATAAAAAGAGGGCCTGGTATATATGAATATTTTCAAAGGAAAAAATCATTATAGGAAAGTTTTTTTATCTTGACAACTAGTAGGCTACTAGTGGTAGAACAATGAGATGCTTTATCTAAAATCTACTGTTAATAAGGGTCATAGACACAAACAACACAGAGGAAGATCAGTATTAAAAACATTCTTTTGGGGCCAAGAAATACCAAAGTGGACAGGAGATTTGCCTTGCATGTGGCAAACCCAGGTTCAATCCCCAGCATCCCACACAGTCCCCCAAGCCCCCCTAAGCAAGATCCCGGAGTGCAGAGCCAGGAGGAGTAAACCCCGAGTACCACAGGGTGTGGCCACAAAATAAAAACAAAATTCTGTCATAGTTAGCGGAAGGATATGGAGCAGCAGGTAAATTTAACTAGACATTTTAAATCTCACCAGGACAAAACACCTAGTCAAAATAGTTCATGGGACGGCTGGGGTAGGAGATAGGAGCAGATAAAAGGCCCCAGGCTTGACCTCTCCTCCACCCATAGAGCAGACAGCAGAGGTTCTCACCCATGCACACTGTCTATGGCCAGAGATTAAGGAAAGCCAAGGGGGCAGGTGTACAGTCCTACATATGCCCAGCAAGAGGTTACAGTGCCCGAGTCCCAGCAAGGGACAGGGGTTACAGGGTTTCAATTTCAAATTTGGAACGAATGTGCACACTGGGCAGAGAACAGTGTAGAGACAAGACCAGGCCATCATATGCTAGAAGCAGGGAGACAGTGAGTAACAGAACTAGGGCACTGTAACCTGGGCGTGGATGGACAGTCAGTGATGGACACTGGGAGGGTCCTGGCTCTGTCCACTTAAACTTTGTAATAAATTTTGCCTCCTTATAAGTTTTGTATGCAAACTGCTCAGTCAAG